TACTAATACACCAAGTATACACACTAGTTTAAGAAGTGAGGTGTATAGGCAATACTTCTCATATGAGAAAGTGGCTTTTAGTTATAAAACAATATTTATAGTTTCCTCATAAATATTAGTTTCTTTCCTTCTGGTCTACCATGGTTTTAAAAATAAATAAACAACTAGCCTAACAAAATCTAGAGTATGCTGAAGTTAGCCCTGAGGGAATATAACTTTTTAAGTGATTGAAAATAACTTAAATGAAATCCCAACAATGGTAGCTGTTAACTGAGATTAAAATAATTTTATTAATCAGCTACTGGTTTCAAAGCTTAGTTTGTCAATTGTTACTGTTGCTCAGAAGCTTTTTGTCTCTAACAGAAATGGTAAAGAACTTACATTGAACCAAAAGCTAGTAACAGTTGCAACTAAAAAATGTACATTTTTATAACATAAACATATGTTAGGTTTTATTGCTAGGGAAACAAAAACCAAAGCAAGCTATCTTTGTTTGTATTTATTTATGGTGCAATCCAGGTACATCTGCTTCAGTCAAGTCTCTGCAGGTTCACCATCAGATCTATCTTGAATAATTTCCAATTACTACATTCCAAAGGAAGGTTCTATTCTTGGCTTAGCTATTTTGAGTGGAACAAAAAGTATATTTTAAGTAGGTTCCTTCTCCAAAAGGAGAAAAAAAATTTTTTTCTCATAAAAGCAAATCTATCAGTAATGAGGAATCTCACTTTCAAGGGATTGCACTGCATGGTGTATCAAATATTTTAATTGTAGTTCTAATGTATATACTATTTTACACTTGAACTTTATTAACACATAATATTAACAGATATAAGTTAACATAAGTTAACAGATATTGTGTGGCCACTAGTGAGGAAGGATCACAACTTTAATAAAGCATAAAGGAAAGCCTGTGTCTAATGTATATTCCTGCCAGAGGGAAATTTGGAATGAAAAGAAGGGGCAGGAAAATCCATTTCAAAACAGTAACTCCATAATGCATCAAGTGGCTCTAAGTTTCACTAAAAGTCTCCTTAAAAATAATTATAGAAAAACCCTTTCTAATTCCATTAATATAATGAAGGCATTCAGTCACCTTCTGATTTGTTTTAAATGAACCAGTAATCCCTTAGTAAAATGAACAGTTTGATGAGTACTCTTTGACTATAATAACATTAAATATAATTTGTTGTGAATGGTTGTTTCATTATTATACTGCCTGGATTAACTGATTTAGAATACACTTTAGAATATTCATGATATATAATTCTACATGAATAATATGTGTTTGGTCACATAACTAACTAAATAGCACCTTTGGTATTTCCAGTTTAAAAAAAAAAAAAGTACCACATCCATCTTGGTTAGGAATATAAGTTCAATTATGACACAGTTTCTATAAGAAAATCAGATATGACATATTTAGATTTACAGAATAAAACTGATGTCATATCCTGCAGCCATTGAAGATCATGCTTGTGGGGAAAAAAATCTTGTAAATTGGGAAAATGTGCAGTGAGACCATATTTAGAGAAAAATCATAATTTCCGAAATTTGTAAAACACACAAACGTACATACAACATAAAAACTAACACAAAGAAGCAGGAAGTTAGCACACCAAAATGTTAAGTATGGTGAAATTATTTACTTACCTATATATCTTATTCTTATTTTCTACAATGAACGGTTAGTAGTTTTTTTGTTGTTGTTGTTGTTTTTTGCGGTACGCGGGCCTCTCACTGCTGTGGCCTCTCCCGTTGCGGAGCACAGGCTCTGGATGCGCAGGCTCAGCGGCCATGGCTCACGGGCCTAGCCGCTCCGTGGCATGTGGGATCTTCCCAGACCGGGGCACGAACCCGTGTCCCCTGCATCGGCAGGCGGACTCTCAACCACTGTGCCACCAGGGAAGCCCAAACATTTAGTAGTTTTTAAAAACCCCCAGATTAAAATATTTTTCAACTGAATGCCTGAGTTTACTTTCCAAAGAGTATTATGTTTCAAGTAAATGTTGTCTATTTTATGTACAGTCTATATTATTGTGAATTTTTAGTAAAGAAAAGGTTCCAGGGTGGTAAATTGAAGCTAATAAATGATTTCTATAAGTTAGGGATTAATTTCAATTTGTGGCAAATCCCACGTCTCTTTTAAGGAACTTGTAAAAATGTTAACATCTTCCTAGAAAAATGTTCTATGTTTATATGGACTGAGTTTTAAGGATAAATGTAAGTTCTATGTAGTTTAAGTAGGAAAAGGTACATTGGATATGTCTTGACTAAATGACCATGTAAATCTCTAAGAACAAGTTAAACTAAAATGATTTTTCCTAAAGTTTAAACATCATCAAAGTAGTTCAGAAGCTTCATTTCTCAGATGCCAAAGGAGGGAATAATTGTAACTATCATAGCATGTGGAACAAACTTTAAAACCTTTTATTTACTGATTTATCTAAATAAACCACTATATGATCTGGAGGAAAAAAAAGAATTTAAATAAAAAGAATTAAAAATAGAATCTTAGGTTTTGACAAGAAGGCAAACTATTAAACAGGTATCTAAAAATTAGCCAAGGAAAAGAGAAAAGCACTCCACACTTAATTCAGTTGTTAGAATCAAATCAGGTCACATAATGTATAGTTTCTCGTCCATAAGTATGTCAATGTCAAGCAATCAAAACCAGAACATAAGGGAATAATAGAAAACGTACTTCCTTATTTTAGAGAGAAGTACTTAACATGAGAATGTATCCTAATAACTAGCTGATAAAAATATCAGACATCATAAAGCCAATTTTTTCAATTTTTCACATAGTTTGTTAATCACTTGTTTGATATCAACTGAAAAGCAGCCGGATAATTCAGATGATACAGTGAACAGGAACAAAAACAATAAAACAAAGGGTTTTATAAGTTGGTCAATTTCACTGATTCTGACATGAAGAATTAGTATTAAATTGGAGCATTTTACTACCTTCATACGTTCTAAAAATTATTTCTAACCTCATTTATAAAAGCTGATAAAAGGATACTCTATTTCTTCATTTATTCATTCAGTAAATATTTGCTGAGTGCCCACTTAATGAGCCAGTCACTGTGCTCAGTGCTAAGCAAGACAACATACACGTCCCTCATGGAGTCTCGTAAGGGAATGACGTTAAACAGGTAATCATGCATATATTTAATTACATTAGAATAAATACAGTAAAAGAAAAGGAACATGTACAATGAGACCCTATAAAGGGGGCCTAACCCAGCTCAAGGATTATAGGAAGGACTTTTGGAGGAAGTTTCATTTAAATGCTTCATCATCTGCATTTCCTTGGCATTTGTCAAAAGGTATAGCATGTAGTATAAACTCAATAAAAGTTTGTAAAATGGAATTAAATAATTGCTTTAATGGTAATTTTTCAAATGTGTGTCCTAGTGCTTATTATAGTGTCTTGCACATAAGAGTGTCTTGCACATAATACATATTTGTTGAATAAATAAATTAATTAATGCAGCAGTTTACTTTTGTGGAAGGAACACAGGTTTTGGAATCAGCTACAATTAGTTTCAAATTCAGGCTGTACTACAAACCAGTCAACCTTTGGCTTAGTCTTAAAAACAGGAATAATGTATTTTATCTTATTGGTAAGAGAATTAGGTACAATGTATGCAAACCACCTAGCACAGTGCGGACCAGCTGGAAAGTGTAAATGATCACTAATAATATTATTTTGCTCATTATATGCAGATTTAGTTAAAGGTGAACTTTATACAAGTCAGCAAAGTCAAAAAGATTTAAACAGAATACCCTAAAGACCTCTGTGTGCAAAGAGTGAAGTTATATACACACACAATGAAAGTCAAGGATTAGATTCCTGGACATACTGGTAATCCTGGGAAAACTTAGGTTTTCACAAACCTATCTGGCCAAACAGCCCATCAAGAGAGATGGATTTTCAGAGTACAATGGTTAAGTATCCTGTGGGAAGATTAGCTGTCTTTTGTAGATCAAGTAATGAGGATGCGTGGCTCTCTCTAAACCTACTGTGTAAATTCTGTAAACATTTCTGAGGCCCTATCAGGTGAGGTACGGTTCTATGCACTGGGGATGTAACAATGAACAAAATGCAGCCCTTGCTTTTAAGGAGGTAAATGTGGTAATGACAGAGCTACACGGCAGGTGCTACAGCAGAAGATGGTTGAGCACTTAGTCTGCTCTTGATGTTTAGGTGAGGCTTCTTAAAGGAGACTGACATCTGAACTAAGGCCTAAAGAATGAGTAAGAGTTATTCCAGAGGAGGAGGAGGAGGAGGAGGTGAGGGACGTGTTGTTTTAGGCAGAGGTAACAGCAGAACAAAGTCATGGAAAAGTTAAATTGCATGAAAAGGGTGCCAAGCTTACACAGTCTGCTATGCTAGACCAGCACAGTGGAGTGAGAAGAATTGAAGCTGATGAGGTTACAAAGAGCCTGGTAGGCCAGGCAAAACAGCCTGGAAACAATTAGATAGGACAGTATGTCAAAGCTAAGCAGCTTTCTGGCTCATAGGTAGAGGAAATTGTAATAGAGGAGAGCAAAAGTGTTTTTTTATTTTGTTTTTCTATTTGGATTGACTCTAAGTATCCAGAACTAATGACTTTCATTAGATCATATTCTTGGCTTAGTGAAGCAATCTGAAAAAACAGAGAATCACTTTGTTTTAGGTAAGAACAATTCATTTATTATCCCAAGAGACTACAATCGATCCAAGTTGTGTCATCCCAAACAAAATATCTGATAATTTATAGGCATATATGAACATCTTTGCACTTACCTAGCAAGGTCTTAAGACTCCGAGACTTTTGGTTCTACCATCTACATCTAGAGCTTATTTGTAGGTAGAAGCTGCAAAGAGTATCCGAGAGAGTGAAAAGAAGTTCATTCTTCCTACCCTCAAGGATCTTATCATTTGGATATGAAAACAGGAGAAACTAAACTCAGGTTAAAAAACAAAAATAGGAAGGAAAAGAAAGACTTACGGAGACCAAACTCTTGGGAAAGCCTCTATTTCTTCTTGTGTGTACTCATCTAGACGTCTGGGCACTTTTCGTGGTTGAGGAAGCTCTTCCACTAAATTCTTAAGAATATCTTCTGGTATATCCTAGAGTAAATAAAAACTTAGGCTTAATCTTCTTAAAATATATTCCCTACTAATAAATTAGTAATTCTTAGTATTAAAAAATAATAAAAGAATGTTTATAAAATGAGAACAACACAATCTTCAAATTAAAACTTTGTAAAAATCCCTGAAAAATACATTAAATCCGTGACATAAGTAATCTCATTATAGTAATACATTCTATATTTTAATCTTGACAAACCTATTCCTAATGATACATTAGATGTCTTCAATTTTGACAAGTATCTGGTCAATAAATTCTACTTTTTCTGAATATTGTTACATTTCCCCCCTCCTTTCAACTGCAAAAAAGGCACTGCTTTGGCTCATTCTCACAATGTTTCATCTGATGAGTGTATGCACAAGGTCTGTTGCTTCCAGTGCCACAACCTTTTTCAATTAATGCTCCATGTTGTTGCCAAAAAAAACTTTCGAAAATGAAAATCTGCTGGATCTTTGCGTCATTTAGCCAACAAGCATTTACTGAACTCCTTCTATGAACTAGAAATTGTGCTAGGTGCTGAGTATATAAAGGAAAATAAAAAGATCATGGCTTCTAAAGGCTTGCAGTTTTAAAGAAGTCACCCCTTAGCTAAAAATCTCTCAGGATGAAGTTCTAACTCCTTAGCTAAACCAGGAAGCGCACCTCTCCGACTTCACCCCTCCGCAAATGCCCATGGCTTCTGAGTAAACAACCTCCTCACCTTTCAGGCGTTGGTCTACACTCAAATCCCGGTGCCTTTATTAATGGCACTTGCCCAGAACTACCTTCCCCTGGAAATATATCCAAATGTTCAGAAAAATAAAAGGAAAGGTAAAATATGAGAAAGTCTGAACTTGGGTAACGAAAAGCAAGCTGAAGAGTAAAGCATACATTTGAGAGGTATCTTAAAAGAACAGGAAGTGGACTAAATAAAGGGAATGATAAGATGAAGAGCATGAATAACCAGAAGAATTAACATTTATACTGTGCTCATGGAACAAAAATAAGGGAAAGAGAATTATATTGTGGATCTGAATGATCAGTTAATTTTGGAGAGTCTATCAAAAAAATAGTAAGGTATCAATATGGAAGTGTCCTATGGGCATTTCCCCAGGGATCGTAGACAGAATTCCCTCTTTTCATTTTAGTGTGTTCCTAAACATTTTCAGAAAAGAAGGATGATGATACAGTAAATTACAGTTGTCTGCAGAGAGCAACAGTATAATTGGGAATCAAATATCTGGGCGAGGACATGGCATCAAATAAGTTATTCAAGATGTCAAGAATCAAATACAATTTAAAAATAATTTTAGAGAATCACAGAGCTCTACTGCACTATAAACTCATTCTAAAACCTAATATGGCAAAACTTAAAAAATATTTTTTAAAATTTAAAATGACTTTAAAATTATGGTTTGGATAGGCTGGGTCACTATCAACATATACAAAACACAATAAATACTACTGAGAAGTGTTTCTTCACTGAAAAGTATTTGAAAAATATTTAAATTCCCTTCCCCAGCATATTCAAATATGCAAGTGTAAGCACACAGAATCAGAACAAGCAGAGAAAGCCTGGACACGTGAAATACTGTTAAGGGGTCCTTATTTTTTTACTTACTAAAGAAGTCTATCTGCCAGTTTGGTATTCACGAAAATTTATGACTATTTCACACTTCTTTGGGAAGCCATTAAAAAAAATCCTTAGCTTGTATTTGCAAAGACAATTTTAAAAGTTGCCAACTGCTCACTCAGCATAGAGAGTTTGGGACATAGTGGGTTCCTGGTAAATGTTTGCTGAATTGAATAGACTTTTCACTGAAATGAGCTTAGCAAATTTCACCACTATTAAAGGAATCCACTGAAAGAATGGACAAAATCAATGCAAAGTTAGGAATTAAAGATGCTGATTAGGCATTACACATGAAACCAGAAAAACTTTCTTTTTATGCGTTTATGTCCTCTGCACAGAGCAGGTGGTGAACCTAAGAGGGAAATAAGGAAAAGAATAAAAGTAGAAAAAAGAAACACAGGGGTGAGGTGATCATTTACTTTTTTGAAATTTTTCCTCTTTATACTTTTTTTTTTTTTTTGACCGTGCCACGCAGCTTAAAGGATCTTAGTTCCCTGACCAGGGATCAAACCCAGGCCCTAGGCAGTGGAAGCGTGGAGGCCTAACCACTGGACCACCAGGGAACTCCCACTTTTTTGCAATTTCTAAAGGAATTTCAAATCTACCGAAAAGTTGCCAAAATGAGTGAACACTCATCTAACCTTCACCTAAATTCACTGACTGTTCAAATTGGACATGATTGCTTTCTCTCTTTTTATCTATTCATAAACACATACACCAAAAACATTCTTTTTGACTGCACCATTTGAGAGTAGTCTGCAAATATTTCATCCCTAAATATTTCAGCATATATATTTCCTAAATATAAGAATTGTCTCCGATGTAACCGCATTACAAATTCATGTTCAGGAAAACTAACATTGATGAAACACCTTTTACTCTAATATACAGTGTATATTCAAATTTCCCAAATTGAATTTTTCCAATCCAAGGTCAAGGATCACATGCTACAGCTATTATGTTATTATGTTGGTTAACATACATAATATATTTAGTCTAGCTTCCTTTAATCTGAAGAGTTTCCTTGTTTTATCTCTTTTATGAAATTAACATTTTTGAAGAGGTCAGGCCAATTATGTTGCAGAATGTCCTTTTTTGGGATGTGTAGGACTCTCTCCTCATCGTTAGATTTAGGTTAAACAGTTCTGACAGGACACTATATAGTTTATGCTGGGTCTTCAGTGCTTCATTCATAGCAGGAGGCACGTGATGTCAGTTTGTCCCATATTGATGATATATTTAATATCTTGGTTATGAGTGGTGGTTCACCAGATGGCTTTAACGTAAAAGTATCTTTTCTCTTTTTAAATAGTAAGTACTTGGTGACATGATGTTTTGAAACTGTGTGAATACCCTGTTCTATAATGCTTTACTCAATAGATACAGAATATGCTGATAATGGTGGCTTTTCTAATTCAGTATTATTTCTACATTTTTTAGATGACATTCTTCTCTAAAGAAGAGCTTTTCCTTCTCCAGAAAGAAGGGAAATTATAATCAGTTAAAAATAATTTTGGGACTATCATTGTGGGCTCATAGATTTTTGTTTTCTATTCAAGGTAATCCACCATTATGACCATTCAAGGCTCACACAGTCCATATTTGGTCAGTGGGCACCACTTCAAGCTGCCTCCTCTGTTCTCTTGATATTTCTCCGTCGGGTTTTGATCACTGTCTTACTTTCTGTTACTTATTGTTTTACTATTATAAACAATGCAGAAATAATAATCTTGTGCATGTGTGCACTCCAAAATAACCTTCTTCTTTGTTCCGGACCTAGAAACAACATTTCTAAGAAGAACCACATTCCTTTAATAGGGAATAGCACTTAGAAAACACAATCTGTGCACTACTTCTGCTTACTTCTATTGGTATTGTCCTTTTATTTTTTGAATATATAAAACCTCAACATGATAAAAAAGTTAAAGTAAAAAAAAAAAAATCTAAAAGGTATTCTCCAAAAATCTCATTCTCTTCCCTACTCCTTTCATCTTTTTGTGTCCATCATCTAGTAAGTAACCAACTTCATTTTCTCATTTATTCTTCCTGTGTTTCTTCACGCAAAAAGAAGAGAGATAAATATATATGTGTGTGTGTAAACATACATATGTATAAATGCATATAAAAGGTAGTATGCTATCTATATTCTTTTCCACTTTGCTTTTTTAAACTTAGCAGTACATCCTGGAAAGCATTACTTATCATTACAATGATATCTGTCATTCCTTTTTTATAATTGCATAGTACTCAACTGAATAGATATAGCATAATTTAGCCAATTTCCTATGAATAAGCATTTATTTATTTCTATTACTTTACTATTGTAGATAATGTGGAAACAATAATCTTGTATATGTGTATCTTCAGGGTAAATTGCTATAAATAAGATAGCCGGATCAAGCATGAATCTCCTTATGTATGTATTTTTGTTAAATGTTACCTAATTCCCCGATTCCTTGTGGGTTGCACCATTTTGTACTGCTACCAGCAATGTCTGAGTGCCTGTTTCCCCATGGTCATGACAATAAAAAATCTAGCAATCCATTTTTGGAGAAATGGGCTCATTTATTTTATAGTCTGAAATTATTTAAGTAATTTATGCTGAAATGTATCTACCTTATAACTGGTAAAAATAACATTACTATTTTTTTGTTCCTTGTAGAAATTATGGTTCCTAAAAGCATGTGAAAGTATAATCAGAAACAGGAGTTTTAAAATTCTTGTGATTTCATGCCCAAAGTCATTTATCCTTATATAATGATACTGCTCCCATACTTGTTACCTCAGAGGTAAAGTGAATAGTGGGAAATTATTCTACTCATTCATGCAAAGTAAAGGTAATAAATTAGCCACTTTGATAAAAGCCTGAATAATTTACTCATGCATTATTTAAACTAACAACAGAACATAAAAGTGTCTTGAACAGTTGAATAACTTTATAGCCTGGAATGAATTCTACCTTATTCCTCTAGTAGGAACTATAAGGACAACAATTATAACCCATAATATTGATAGCAACTAGAACTTACTGTTCCAGGGCCTGGTCTAAGTACTCTACGAATGTTATCTCATCTAACCCTTACAGCAATCTTATGAAGTAGGTACTATTATTATGCCCATTTCACAGATAAGAAAACAGAGATAATAATGGCCATGAAGTCAGTAGATGGTGGGGGCATGTATTCAAACTCAGGCAGTCCGATTCCATGGCCTGGACTCAACTGTTTTATTATAGAACCTCTATAGTGTTTCATTATATTATACCAGAGAGAAAAACCAAGTACTTATACCAGTACAACAGTTATGGATAAAAATGTCTATTTTTATTTTCAAGTACTTTTTAGCTGAACAAATTCTGAGTAGGAATAAGTATTCTCAAGTTAAATCATGGGAAATAATTAGCAACCAAAGCCGAGCTATTAATCTATGATTCATAGAAGCTACAGGTCACAAAAAAAGTAAACTAAATTCATACTTTTTTGTAGTTCATGAAATTATCTATGAGTACCCTCAATTTAACAGGGGCTCTAATTATAATTTCTTATTCCAAACAAAGTAGACCATAGTTCCTTCTTCCAAAGAAAGCAGTTATTAAAATGAAAATATAGAACTTACAGACTTTTGGTTTTTAGTCCAATGATGGCTCACTTTATGATTTAAGATAGAAGCAATTGTTATTATAGTGCATTCACTATAAAATGCAAAAAATATTTCAGAAGTTGACATAAAATTACTGAAAATACAACAATTTTTAAAATGAGAAAACATTTAATTAAAAATTTAAGAAAGCAGCTCAATATCAAAAAAACAAACAACCCAATCCAAAAATGGGCAGAAAACCAAAAAAGACATTTCTCCAAAGAAGATATACAGACTGCCAACACACACATGAAAGAATGCTCAACATCATTAATCATTAGAGAAATGCAAATCAAAACTGCAATGAGATATCATCTCACACCGGTCAGAATGGCCATCATCAAAGAATCTACAAACAATAAATGCTGGAGAGGGTGTGGAGAAAAGGGAACCCTCTTGCATTGTTGGTGGGAATGTAAATTGATACAGCCACTATGGAGAACAGCATGCAGGTTCCTTAAAAAACTAAAAATAGAACTACCATACAACCCAGCAATCCCACTACTGGGAATATACCCTGAGAAAACCATAATTCATGTGGTACAAAAGAGTCATGTACCACAATGTTCACTGCAGCTCTATTTACAATAGCCAGGACATGGCAGCAACCTAACTGTCCATCAACAGATGAATGGATAAAGAAGATGTGGTGCATATATACAATGGAATATTACTCAGCCATAAAAAGAAACGAAATTGAGTTATTTGTAGTGAGGTGGATGGAACTAGAGTCTGTCATACAGAGTGAAGTAAGTCAAAGAGAAAAACAAATACCATATGCTAACACATATATACAGAATCTAAAAAAAAAAAAAGTCATGAAGAACCTAGGGGCAAGACGGGAATAAAGACGCAGACCTACTAGAGAATGGACTTGAGGACACAGGGAGGGGGAAGGGTAAGCTGGGACGAAGTGAGAGAGTGGCATAGACATATATACACTACCAAATGTAAAACAGATAGCTAGTGGGAAGCAGCCGCACAGCACGGGGAGATCAGCTCGGTGCTTTGACCACCTAGAGGGGTGGGACAGGGAGGGTGGGAGGGAGGGAGATGCAAGAGGGAAGAGATATGGTATATATGTATATGTATAACAGATTCACTTTTTTATAAAGCAGAAACTAACACACTATTGTAAAGCAATTATACGCCAATAAAGATGTTAAAAAAAATTTAAGAAAGTATCATCAGTGACTTACTTCATCTGGGAAAAGATGCAACCTCTGCATCAGAGTTCTTCGGTGAAGGTTTTTTGGCAGCATGCCATAAATAGCTAGTTTAACAATCTGAAAAACAGATACACGGGGGACTCAATAAGAAAAATGTGCTGGGGATATAAACACAATAAGAGATAGTGATGAAAACGAGTGGGCTAAGATTCAATGTGAATACGAAAGAAATGAAACTGAGACCTAAGCATATATGTGGCAGTAACAGAAAAGTAACTTTTATTGTTTTGTACATTACTATTTTCTTTCAAATCTGTTTATTTTTATTTAGAAAAGGGACAAAAGGAAGAGATAACAGATAACTTGTTTGTGTGTCAATTTTAGATAGAATAAGAAAAAATTCTTTAAGCTTATACAAGAACCTGTGGCTCAAATAATCTATTACAGGGCTTCCCTGGTGGCGCAGTGGTTACGAATCCGCCTGCCAGTGCAGGGGAGCAGGGGACACGGGTTCCATCCGTGGCCCAGGAAGGTCCCACATGTTGTGGAGCAACTAAGCCCGTGTGCCACAACTACCGAGCCTGCTCTCTAGAACCTGCGAGCCACAACTATTGAAGCCCACGTGCTGCAACTACTGAAGCCTGCGTGCCTAGAGCCCGTGCTCCGCAACAAGAGAAGCCACCGCAGTGAGCAGTCCGCGCACCGCAACGAAGGCCCAAGGCAGCAAAAATAAATAATTTAAAAAATTTATTAAAAAAATAATAACCTATTACATACAGATTAGAGCAGATCCTAGGGAGGCTTAATCTCGTTTCCTCCAGGTGGGAGATCAGGAGGTTTCCAATTCATAAACTGTGCCTGACCATACAGTCACGCGACTGACTCTGTAAGTCACCAATCTGTAACAATGGTAATGGCTAGCATTCACTGAAAACTTACTGTGTGTACAGCGGTCACTGCACTACATTCGTTATCTTGTTTACGATACTAAGGCCAACTTCACAGATGAGGAAACAAATTTAGTGAGGTTACAGAACCGCACCCCGTAATTTCATGTATCTATTAACTGGTGGTGCTGGATTCAATCCAGGTAGGTTTACTCCCAGAACAGACATACAGGACTTGCAAACACACACTATAATGTGTTTCTCTCTGTAACTTTTCAAGAAGACAAAGTCCCTTCTCCCTGTTATACCCACTCCCAAGACGGCAAACTAACCTTTTCATGATTTACTTTTCCCCTTGTTAAGGTTATCCTCACTGTTGGCCTGAATGTGATTTTATGTATGTTTTGTCAAGAGAAAGGCACGCAGTGTCACCTTGTGCTCCATAATTTCCTGGGGGCCTCCTGGTATACAGTGTATACAAATATACTGCAAAAGCTTCATAAAACTAAGAGACATTTGGAGAGTCAAACTGATTTTTTCCATCTGTACTCATATTTCAAGGATATCATTTGGCATGTATGAAACTAAACCCATTAAAACAATACACATTGGAATAGGATTGCACTATAAGAGGATTTCCTGATCTTTTTATTTTCTCATCACATCAGACTACCTCACTATGTACTAAAGCTAATGGCATCCCATATATATTTTCCATCTATTTTCTGTGTTAGTGCTGTTGAGACTTTATGTTCTGGAGACTATTTAAATACAGACTTACATTGTTAAAATTAAGAGCAATTAGAAATTCAGTTCCTGAATCACATAAGCCACATTTCAAGTGGTCAGACAAAGAACATTTCCATCATAGCAGAAATTTCTCTTGGGCAGCACTGATATTAGTCTTTAAAATTTTTAATGTTTTAAAAGTCTTTAGTAGAAAGTGACAATGTTAAGACTACTCAGCATCTTGTCTGGATAAGCAAGTCATTGTATCTTCTGTCATTATATCATCCTAACAGCAATTTTGTTGCATTAGCAGGGTTACTTGGCATTTGGTTTTCATGTTCTTAAAAACATTTAGTTGTATTTACTTGAATTAACAAGTTGGTATTTTTAAAATATGCCCTATTAAAAAATGCAAACATAACACTCAAATTAGAGAAAGCTGGAAAGTATGAAAGGGTTACAAGCTGCCAGGTGAGCGAAAAAGGGGATGACAGACATACAAATATACATACCCCAAAAAATAAATGTGACACAACTTGCATATGCAATGAAGTAATTCTAGCTGTATAGACTTAAGCATAAACTCTAAGGAATTCAGAAAGTGAGAAAGATAGAACAAGGTAAGGTTAATAAGTATTAAATACTTTCCTCATCTAATGTGTAACCCAGGCATGTGACATTTGTTTCACATAAAGTATCTTTATAAACTATAGGAGAGGGAATAAACATAAGAAAGGAACCATATTAGAAGAAAAATACAAGAACACAGAGACTCCTAAGGAAACTAAAATGTATGACAGAGGGAGAAAGGATATAAGGAAAGGGCTGAATCAATATATTTATTTGAGTTTAGAATTAGTGATCTTCTATGTAATTATAAAAATATATTGAAATATTTAAAAGCCTACTATTTAAATATGTTAATCAATGTACTTTACAAGTAATATTCCAAGATCGTACTAATAATCAGAAAGATGCTTCATGAAACAAATTCTCCTAAAAGCCACATATACCAAGTACTGATAAGCAAATTATGTCTGCTGGAAGAAGACCTACTGTTCCAGAAAAACACTGAGTGTTTCAATTGGAAGTAAAATAACTGACCTCTTCGTTAACGTGTCAGTCTTTTTAGAAACACAATCAAAATTAAGACTTAAAAAAAAAATTAAGATCTTTTAATGAGGTAAAAATTCAAATGGATTTAACTCTAAATATTTTCCAAGCCGTCATCAAACATTTTGCAATGCATTTCAATCTTTGTTCATAAAAAATAATTTGAAACAATTTCTACAAATGTTATCCAAAGCCAAATTCTTAACATCAAAAGTTGGACTATACTGCCTCCTAGTGTATAGTTGGCATACCTGAATAAACTAGAAACTAATTTTAAAAACATTGAAACATATTTATAAGTATTAAAACTATAATTTGTTGTAAAAGTTGTAGTATATATTACCAGTAGCCCTAACAACTTTTTACTATTATATGCAATCCATATTAATAGTCAAAATAGGATATTTTATTTTGACCCGTGATAATCTAAAGACACATGAATTATAAAGCAGAACATTAAATATTTCTTAAGAAGCAATTTCTGAGCATGTTTTTATAATTATGAAAAGTAAAAATAAACAGTAAAGCACGTAACGTCTAAATGCCATGTCAGACCTTATAATAATAAACATGCCCTTCCCCACCACCACCTTAGCCAAGAAAATTATAGGCAGTACAACACCAAACAAATGGTTGCATCCTGACAATAGACATTTTTATTCACCATTTTAGGGAAGTAAAAAGGAGTGTCTTCACAGTCTAACACTTTGCTCATTTAAGTAAAAAACTAAAACAGGTCCCAATGGGGAAAATGCTACCAAATCTAGGAGTACAGTTTAAAGACTAGGTTATCAAGAGTTAAGGAAGAAAAAATAAAACTGTGAAATGGCAAAAGGAGGATCTGCTTTTAGCAATACTGAGGACAAGCATTTGGTTTAGAAATTTCTCCCAGTATATAACTCTAATGATAACATAATAAACATCAGTGAAGTTAACAGTATTGCTTTTTAAATCCTTTAAAAGCATGGGACTGACTAGAGGCCAAAAGTAAAAGAAAGGACAAAAGAGTCCTAGGGCTGGCATTGGCCTTGAGGGCATCAGTTTAGTGCAGGGCTTGGGTTTTACAGGACTATGACTTTGGGGTTAGGAGGTAGGATCAAGATGACCTCATAAACCCAGCTTCTCAACAGAAAGGCAATACTCAGGGTGCTGAGTGAGGAAATGAAAAAACAAAAGTCTTTCCTGACAGATAACTGCTAAACTATGAACCTGACCTTACAAGGCCCCAAATTCACCCTTTTTATGGGGACCAAAATCCAGGGGTCGAAAGTATAGCTTAAAGAGGTCTTAGGATGCCATATATATACATATATATATATAGGTATATATATAGGTATATACGTATATATGGCCCCATGTACCTGCCAGAAGCTAAGTAAATCTTTTTTGAAGAAATTCATTTTTAACGTAGGTCTCAAAAATTCCCAGAGATGAAGTTCCAAGGTACATATACTTTCCAAGTATCCTGAACAGAAACAATAAATTGCAAACCCACAAAGACCACAAATATCAGAATCAGACATAAATGCTAAGAATTACGTTTAATATCTTTAAAGAAATATAAGAGGGAACCAAAGTATGACAAAGGGAACAGAAGACTGTCAAAACCGACCAGCAAATTTGAAAAAGAAACAAACAGTAAAAGCTTCAAGAAAAGAAAAAAATACAATAATTGAAGTTATTTGTATATGTATGTATAATCTGATTTCCAAAGGGAAAGGACAGAGAATAAAGGGAGCCGATATTAGAAGATACATAGAAGAGCTGACGAATTTTCGGAAGACACCAATCCGCAAGCAAAACAATGACAAAGCTCAAAAAGAAACATATAAAAACCAAAGTCGACGAAAAGATCTTAAAAGTATTCAGAAAGAAAAGACAGAATACACACAAAGAAACAATTAAAGTGACATCTGATATCAACAGTAATAACGGACACTAAAATCTATGTGAATCATAGTTTCAAAAAGCTGAGAGAAAAAAATCGGTTATCCTAGAATTGCATATAAAAGCAAAACTATCTTTCAAGAATGAAGGCAAAAATATAGCTTCAGACAGAAAAGGAGAGTTCACTATTCAGAATGTTATGATAGGAATGTCAACAAGAAGTTCTTCGAGGAGAAGGACATTGATCCCAGTTACAAGAATTGATCGTAAGCAAAGAAGACCATAAAGAATCAGTAACAGTGTAAGACAATAACAAGAATGCTGAATTTTAAGAGTTTTTAAAAATCTTGAACAGAGAAAACATACAGGTTGAAAGGGAGAATAGGTATTAATAATCTTCTAGGGGCCTTGATTTGATTTTGAGGAAAGTAAAGATATTGATTAATCCTAGACTTCTAATAAGCAAACTCAGTCAATCCAAAAGAAGGCAAGAAAGAAGGGGATAAAAAAGAAAATAAAATCTAGCTCAGTAAATTAAACTGTAAAATGAAATATGAGGCAAACAAAATTTAAAAACTGGTTGATATAGCTATATTAATATATAAAAAGAACAGACCTCAAGTTGAAAAGCATTATTGGAGATAAAGAGAGTCAGTATATACCTTGATCAATTCCTTAAGAAGATTATAATCCCAAACTTAAGTTAATTCATCTAACACTAAATCTTCAAAACATACAGAACAAAAAACTGACAGAACTACAAGGAAAAATTAATAAATCCACAACTGAGATTTTAACATAACTCGGGTAATCAGTAAATCAAGTGAACAACAACAACGAAAAAGTCAGTGAGAATATAAGATTGGAACAACATACCTAGCATATTTGATATAATGGAAATATAAACATATATACACACATACAAACATACATCTGTCTCCCCCAAACATTTTCAGCAGTCATATCATATTCTAGGTGATCATGCAGATGTTAAGAAATTAAAAAGAAAAGCATCAAAATTCTTTGATTAAATGCAAAACATACTAATTAGAAAACATATAGAATTGAATGATAACGAAATAATACCTATCAAAACTTGTGTGATATAATAAAAAATACTATAAACTTACTGCCACTGGATCCTTCTGGTGAAGCTGAGCAGCTGTTACTTGTCTAAATCCACCTGGGTAGCTATTAAAAGAAACAAAGACATTAAAATTGGGAGTAGGCTATGGTATAGTATTCTTGAAATGAACATTCTTTTATAATATGAAAACTATTTTTATTATGAAATTATACTTGTTTCTCGAAACTATGCTGTTCATCAATGTCTTAAAAATTAAGCAGTAACCTATGCTATTTGAAATGCTATTCTCTTAAGTGGTCAAATTAGCAATCATTATTTCATAAAAAGTTCCACATCTTAGAAAATTTCTTGGCTAACTATTTATATTTCTACTGGAAGTTAAAGTTATTCATCATTCATTCATTCACTCATTCAGTCAAACATTTTTATCACTGCTTAGTTTATCACTGCTTGAATTAAAAAAAAAAAGCAAAGTGCCAGAATGTTTCACATTCCCTGACAAATCAGACAAAGTGAATAAGCTAGGGGTCAGGTTTGGAGAAAACAGTGGTAGACTACTTGGTTCTGAAGGCAAGTTAATACTCTAAACAAGTCGTGCTCCTGTTTCCTATTAACAGGAAGTCATATGTTGGTTCTAAGTAATAAAATATTTCATTGTGTTCGGATCAAAATTATATATAAAATGTAGATTAAAAAAAATATTTGGGATAGTACTGGAGGCATCTTGGTAACTTGAATACCCCAGATCCAGGTCTGGAATCTAGGTTTTGCCAGTGGCTACCAGTATAATATTAGGCAACTCATTTCATCTCTTTATATATGAGTTTGCTCATATAAGGAAAATGATAATATCTGCCCCATCTACCTCTCAAGATTTTTATCAGAGTCAAGTGACAGTGCTTAAGAAATTTAAAACAAAAACAACATACAGATGCAAGGTTTTATTACACTGAATGGTAATGATTTTTGAGGAAGGGAAAAATAAAATGTAAAGGCAATAGACTCTGCAAGAAAAATGTAAGGTTACCTAAATATGATTCCTTTTATAAGTTTCTTTCAACAAGACTTGAAAACATTTTAAAGATGATTTAGAGAACCACGTTTTAGGAATAAAACTTAAGAAAGCAAATTTAGAAATTTGCTGAGAAAGATGGATAATTTTCAAACTGATGCTCTTTCATTTGCTTCATGGAATTTCAGCCTCAAAAAAAGAAATACCTGTCTAGACTTCTATTCCTGTATTCTTTCTCTCCAGGAAAAAAATACTTTATGTTTTATCACATTGTTATCTTGTATTTTCATATTTCTTTCCCAATTACCTGTAAATTTTATAAAACTTGGTTTGTATATAGAGATTTACCAACAGTAAAAATTACTAAAGATGGATGTGAATTCATTTTTGTTACATTAAATAAAGAGTTCACGAAAGTGTTTAAGTGTAGGAATGGGCAAAGGCTGGCTAATGGAAGCAAAAAAGTTATCCCAAGCATTTAAGACCTACTTGGGCAAGAGAGGAAAAGAAACAGATGGGAATATCAAAAGTCTGCCTGTCTAAGATGAAGGTGCACTTGGAAATAAAAAATAATAATTTTGATCAAGAATGAAAAGCCAACATTTTTAATCATATCTTGCATGATACTGAAGAAGGTATGCTTAATTAAATTTGTACATGACCTGAAACTGAGGGGTTAACTGACACATTACATGACATAATCAACATCTCAAAAGATCTTAGAAGGCCAGAGATACAATTTACATGGAGTAAACTTAAGGTACTACAGTTGATTAGAATGCAACTAAAATACACAGGAAGGAGGATACATGGTTGAACAGCAGCATGTTTGAAAAAGACCTATAAGTTTTAGCTGATGGTGAACTCAATGTAGCACATAGTGATATGGCCTTGAAGAAAAGTTCTACTACAATAGAAGATTGCATAACTGAAAGATGGAGTCACATTATACCACAAAACCACTAAAACGCAGCCAGGTGAGTGTATTTAGTTAAGAAAGATACTGATAAGCAGTGATTGCACCCAGAGAACAGTGACCAAGGTATAATGGAGATAAGACATCTGAATGGAAGCCATAAAAAGAACTTTGAAGGAACTACAGGTGTTTAGTCTAGAGAAAAGACAGATCAGTGGGTACTTGCTGATCATTGTCTCAAAACTATCTGAAGGATGTCATGTGGAAGATATAATTTTACACTGTCCAAAAAAGGACTAAGACCATTCTGAAAGCTAGAGGAAAACAGATGATGACTCAAGAGCATTGAGATCTTTCTAAAGTTTAGACCACATCAAAGGCAGAATGAATGGGCTGCCTCATGAGCTAGGAGATAGCTACTATTCAGATAGGCAGACCTATAACTTGAAAGGCATGTTGTGGAGATTTTAGGTATCTTCCAAACTTGGGATTTCACTCACCATTCTTTCAACATCTCATGTGCTTTTAGAAGTTCAAGATGGTTCTGGAAACAGCAGCAAGATGAATTATAGGAAACAGAAAGAAAGAAGTGAGAAGACTGACTAAAAAATGAGAAGAATCTAGATCAGAGAGGTTATATGAAAAGCTTCCAGGAAAAACGAATGTTCTCAGGTAATCATGAGTATTTGGTACAGTATTGCAGTTTTTTTGACTGAGTAAATCATACATGTGGCATGAACAAAATTGGTATTTTCTTAAATTTCGAAAAAACCTTTTTTCTTTTAAATAAGACCAATAATATTCTTAAAGTAATATATTCAACTGCCTATCTTCCCTGACAAAAGCATTATCTTACCCAGTATGTGAGGAGTATACTTTTTGTTCCCATTTGTTTCCAGAAAATGCAATGTGCCTTGTGTTCATTATGACAACATGATCTCCACAGTCACCTAGATTTAAAAAGAACAAAGAAAAAAAAAAGATTTTATATGAAAATTCTTGACTTTAAGAAAAAGTGAGCTTGGTTTTTTATAAAGCTTATCAAAGTCCAAAAAACACATCAAAAAATATAAAGCAAGTCACAGTGCAACATCAAAATCATTGAATAGATTTATGTTTCTCTTTCACATAACATCTAAGCATTGAAAGAGTTGGCTGGACAGTTGGAAAATCTCAACACTGGAAGGTAAAAGAGAATTCAATAAAGATGCCAGTAACAATGACACATCTTTTAAAGGCAAACTACTGTTACTCCTATTTTCTCTGCCGATCAATAATTACATTTCATTAAAATGTACTATTAATTACACTTCACCACTTTTAAATATCTCATACAAATTTTCCCTTAAAAATAAAAGAGAAAATGAAAACCATATGCATATAGATGAAAAATGGTTTGTTTTACCAACAGGTAAATTGGAAACAAATGTAAAACATCATAATTTATTATTCTTTTCAAATTCAGAGAAAAGAATACTAGGGTCTTATGCTTAACTACTAACCCAAGGTTTTTTTCCAAACACATTTAACTAGCTAAATTTAAACCGCGACTAGCAACTATGAGTACACATATACTTGATGCAACAGATGATCTGAAAATCAAAATATATGTTTTGGATTAATTTTCCAGTGAAAAGTACCCCTAGGCCTGGCTGTTCATCTAAAAAAAAAAAACCTAAGAAGTCAACGTGTAAGTTTTCACCAGTCACTGTACATGACAAAATCAAGTAGTCAGAAACATTTATTAAGTGCCTATTCTAGTAATAGAAAAACAAACTTCAAAAGATTCTTGAAGGTTATCTATTTGAAAAAAATCACCGCTGAAAAAATAAGTATAAATAAGTACAGTATCTCAAAACTGAAGATTACATTATAAGAGTCTACGCAGAGCTTGAATTTGAGTGACAGAATTTTCAGTGAGAAGTTCCTAGTTTATATAAGGCAAGGGTAAAGGAAAGAGGATAAAGCAGGTGCGTTTTCTTCATTAGCGTGTAAGGGAATCCAGGGGTGGGAAGGAAAGATCTGGGAATGGGAAGCTTGCTGTTAGCTGGTTGAAAAGGAAAGTTTGACTATTTGGCAAATTAAGTGACTAAAGTTCCCAAAAGTGACCCATGGTGGGCTACTAAGGCAGTTGGGCAAATGAACCTGAAGAACAAATGAAGAGGGTGAGAAGATACCTACACAGTCCCAAATAATGCTGAAATTACATTAGCTTTCAACCGGACACTTAGAGTTGAAGAAGCTAAGGCTTGTTAAGATTAAGTGATTTGTCAAAGCTCACAACAAGGTATTTAACTCCCTGTTCAGGCTCTTTCTGTGACGCCTATTTGGAGGAAAAATGGAATCTTTAACTTTCTAATAAACCTGAATTTATTTTTTAAATGTTGTTTAAGCTTTAAATATGCAAAAAGCATTTTGCGCCATTCAAAACACATTTTTACTTCAAAAAGGATCTTTCAAGGGACATTAGAAAGAATACCACAAATCAGGTGACAATCGTGTTCTTTCAGCTCTAAGGTATGAACATCTAATCTGGGAAAAATTATTCTCCCTTAATAACTTATGCCAAATCTCTACTGTATTTAATAATTCTTAGAAGCACTTCTTCACTGTCTCTAATTAAAACCAACCAGCAATTAAATCTTTTTTAACTGCACTAGGTATTAAAACAAAAGCCAATATTATGATTAAAGCCTAAAATCCTGGATACAGTGCAATCATTTCTATCTAAATTTCTGTTAAAATCCAAATAAATAGATATATGTCATTTTAAAATTTTAATTGAAACATTTTACATTTTACAATATGCACCAAATACATATAAATTGGAACTCTACTGCCTGATCAAGAGATGGTAGACGTTAATTAATATCTTTCAAACTTAAAAACTTTTTTTAAAAGTTAAAGTTTAGTAATAAGCAATTTTTAGAAAAAGGAATTGAGTTTATTTACAAAAATTTATCAGCTTAGATTTCTGACCCTATTTGATTTCTTTTTATAATATTAGGTGCTAAATTAAATGGCCAAATAAAAATTCAAACTAATACAATCAAAGGGAAAACTCAAAGGTTTATGTCAGGGAATCTAAGGTCTCCTTCATCCAGTGCAACACTGCTTTTACATATTGGGTCTCCTTACAAGATTTGGTTTGAGAAACGTTTGAAAAATAGCTGTTCCAATTTAGTAAGCAACAAAGGTTGGCTTTGGCCTTTATGTTTGTTTCCAGCCTTGAAGGACAAATGTCCAAATGCCTACTTCAACGTTTTTTTAGCATCCCTGAAATTCTGCAGGGCTAATGTGACAGAGGATCATGTAAGTTACCACAAAATCTACTGAGTGTAAAGACGTTGTGAGAGGAACAAGGTGTGTTGTTCAAATTTATGATAATATGTAAATATTCCTTTTAAAAGAGGCATGTATTCTAGATATAACCTGGAGCAAAAGCTTCAGTGCTTTGTACAATGATATTCTAGGAGCGAGATGAAGAATAAATGTGCGATTAAGACTGTAAAATTTAAACGATGCAGAGTTAACATTTGAAATAGACTGACACAACTGAATAGTAAGAGAGAAACATACATTAGCTGTGTAACTTTAAGAAGAGCATTCTAAACTTTTTTTTTCTAACAAATCCTTAAAAGATTTAAATAAATAATGCAAGGCAGAATACTAGTGAATACTAGACTAGTGAATCGTTAGAATTGTTTGGTGTGCTAACATTCATAACATTAACCTTTAAGAACTGTGTGAAACTTTCGTTTGATTTCATTCCATGTGCACCAGAAGTATTTTAAGATGATCTAATAACTTTAGATAATGCTTAAGAAAGGTTTCCCTTTGCTTCTTTTAAATGCTCATATGGTTCTCCTTAACTGATTAATTTGTAGGCAGTGAAAAGAATGGAATCCTCAAGAAGAATAAGGCACAATCCAAAAATCACCAAGTGGCCTTCCTTTTCCTGTATCAGTGAAAAGCAAACATGTTCAAAGAGCTCCCAAGTCTCCCATTCAGGAGGGCAGCTCTAATCAGAAGGAGAAGGGAGTGCCTATAAAATAGTTCAAATATTGTATACATTATGTATCTGAACATACATACAGGTCCATGGACTTTGTGAGATGCTGTGGCAAACCAACGTTCTACTTATAAGGTTATTTTTTTATGGAAACTGTGGTCTGGGTCAAGATCGAGATGATCTGGAGTTAGGAGAAGAATGCCCTCCTTTCACAAAATTTGGGAGAAGGTGGAATCAGTAGTAGCCACCTAATTCTTCTTAAAGTGTAGCACTTATCTGTCCACTGAATTAAAGTTCTGCTTCCTTACAAGCACGTCATTACTGCAAAAGTATTCCTTAAGTACTGATGAATAAGCGTGCTGCTAGAACACCAGAGGAGCTTTTGGGGCTGCCTGTCGGGCCATCCTTCCCTGGTAATGGAGAACAGCTTTTCTATGAAATTAGAAATTTACTTCTTAAAGAATGAATTGCATTTTTGTTTCACTATATTTAATATTTGGTTTTTATCAGCAAAACTTTGGACTTTTCATGCTATAAGATGTCACTAAAATCAAAACAAACTGCACGCAATTTTCAATTTACAAATATGTTGTTTTAAGTTTTTTCTAACATATACTGGGTATGTTTCATGTGTTCATAATCACTGTAAACATGTTTATTTGAAAACTGGCATACAATTTCCCAGAAAAACAATATGACAAACGATGGCCATATATACAGGAAGGGCTATAAAAGTTAATATTTAGGTGTGATAATGGCATTTGGGTTACATAGGAGAATATCTTTGTTCTTGGGTGACATATGCTGAAATATTTAGGGGGAGGTATAATGATATCTGTAATTTATTTTCAAATCATTGAGTAAAATATATGATAAAATATTAATAATTGGGTAATCTAGGTGGCTGGTATAGAGAAATTCACTGTACTACTCTTTGAACTTTTCTGAAAATGTGAACATTTTTATAATAAAAGTTAGAAAGAAGTAAAGGACAAACAACTCAGTGGAAAAATGGGAAAAAGAAATGCATAGACCTTTTACAAAATGGGAAATGACAAAAGGCCAATAAACAAATGAAAAGATTCTCAGCTCCATGTGCAATCAGGAAAATGCAAATTTAAACCACAAAGAAAGAGCATCTCCCATTTACTAGAGTAGTCAGAACTAAAAAGAACGACAACATCAACGTTACTGAGATGAGGAATAATGAAAACACCTGCATATAAAGACTAACTAGGTTCCCATTTTCAACCCAGTAATTCCTGTCCTGCAGACAGACCTCAGAGAAACTCTTCCACATGTGCCCTGGGAAAAAGGTACAAGAATACTGATAGCAATGTTGTTTGTAACGGCAAAAAAGAGGAAAACAACCCAAATGCTGAGTGTATGGGTATTCATTTCACCACCATTATTATTAATTTTCTTTAAAATATTATCTATATTCATATATAGGTAGAGGAATACATCTCTATCTATCTAAATATATCTTTGTATATTTCATGTTTCAAAATAAAGTTTAAACTATGATCAACTACAAAAAATGCTGTTGACAGGTCAGGCAAGATGAAGAGTAAGAACTGATACTTGGATCTTACAGGGAAGTCCTGCCCCCAACAGGTTTTTAACAAGAATGGAATAAGGGATCCTCAGTAAAAAACAGATCCTTAAAACAGCCCAGGGCTTCCCTGGTGGCGCAGTGGTTTAGAATCTGCCTGCCAATGCAGGGCACACAGGTTCGAGCCCTGGTCCCGGAAGATCCCACATGCCGTGGAGCAACTAAGCCCGTGCGCCACAACTATTGAGCCTGTGCTCTAGAACCCGTGAGCCACAACTACTGAGCCCACGTGCCACAACTACTGAAGCCCACGTGCCTAGGGCCTGTGCTCCGCAGCAAGAGAAGCCACCGCAATGAGAAGCCCACGCACCGCAAGAAAGAGTAGCCCCCGTTCGCCACAGCTAGAGAAAGCCTGCGCGCAGCAACAAAGACCCAACACAACCAAAAATAAAAAAAAATAAAAAAAACAGCCCAAACATCTTCAAAATTCTATCCTGACATGAAAACTGTGATTACCAATAACAGGTCTAAAATGATACTCACTCAGTTGATGGTACACAGGCTTATGCAATCCTTGAAGTTTAACTGATGCCAGGGCAGCAAGTTTGCCAGGGGGCTGCATTTTCCCATCTAAGAGATACCAAACTCGAGCAAAAGTGGCCCATTGCTTGAAAAGACAGAAGAGGAAACAAAGAAAATGCTAATTAAATGGAAACAGCTGAGTTTGCTATTATATACCATCACACATAATCTACAGTTAACATCAATAATTATTATGGGGCTTCTCTGGTGGCGCAGTGGTTGGGAGTCCGCCTGCCGACGCAGGGGAAACGGGTTCGTGTCCCGGTCCGGGAAGATCCCACATGCCGCGGAGCGGCTGGGCCCGTGAGCCATGGCCGCTGAGCCTGCGCGTCCGGAGCCTGTGCTCCGCGACGGGAGAGGCCGCGGCGGTGAGAGGCCCGCGTACCGCAAAAAAATATATATATATTATGAAAAAAGATCCTATCACTAAATAATTTTTTTGTTTTGTTCTCATTTCTATTTCTGTAAAAGGGGGATCTGTTCTCATTACTCTGCAAAGATTAACATAGTGATCTTTCCTGCTTGCTTTTCTATTAGCAATATGGGTTATGCTCTTTTAAAAACATTCCAAAGATATTATTTCCCTTTACATTATGACTTATATTTTTTGTACCGCATAGAATAGAATCTGGAGGGGTCACGAAAAGCTCTTATGAAAGTAGAAGTTGTTTATGAAGGTCTTCAAAAATATTTTGAGATTGGAAGGTACATTAACATTGAAAGATGAGTGGCCAATTATGAACTGAAGACTATTCAGGAGTTTAATTCCAAGGGAGAGTTAAATAGCAGAATGTAGCTGGAAAAGCATAGATGGATGATGTTGAATAAACTTAAATTTTAAAACACTGCCTTAGATAGACATCTTAGGCTGGCTCAGGCCTAAACCGCTGTCTTTGTGTCCATCACTGCCTTCAAACTCTTAAGAAAAGCACAGGCCAGAAAGATCTTGATCAGATGCTTTCTCTATGGATATACACAAGCAGCCAAACAGTGCTGGAAAAAGTACAACTAGGCTCTCTGGTTTTATCTTAAATTTAATTATCACAAATCTCAAATCAGCTTATAAAACTGCTTACCAATCTGCTGTTTTCCTGTTCTCATTCTTCTAGTCTCTACCCCATTCCCCTTTTATATCTTTTGTCAAGTTTATTTCATATATTTTGATGCCATTGTAAATGGTATTGTATTTTTAATTTAAATTTCTGATTGTTGCTAGTATATAGAAATGCACTACATTTTTGTATTTTGGTCTTGTATCCTGCAACCTTGCTAAACTCATTTATCAGTTCTAGTAACTTTTTGTAAATTCCAGTTTTTACATAGATGATCATGTCCTTTGCAAATAAAGAGCTTCTAGCCCATATACTTTCCATACCTCTCTCAGCTTATGAACTAAAAAAAAAAAAAAAAAAAAATTCAATTCAATTGTCTACAGGACAATCTTGTTTCTTCAATAAACTGTAAGAAAAAAAGACAGGAAAAGGAACCTATTATTAAGAGAGACATAAAAAAAATAGCAACTTATTGCTACTTTGGATCCTAATCCAAAGGAAGAAACCGTAAAAATATTACATATTTATATAATATACATGATATGTGTAAGAAAATTGGAAACGTGAACACATACTGGATATTTGATGATACTAAGGAATTGCTGTTAAATTTCCATTTAGCTTTGATAAATGGTAATGGGATTTTTTAAAAAATCCTTATCTTGTAAAGAACATATTGAAATATTTACTGATGAAATAATATGAGTCTGAGATTTACCTCAAATTCATAAGTAAGAGAAATAAATGAATGGGGGTACAGATTAAATGATATTGGCTGTGAGATTTTTGAAATTGGGTGATATCTACTTTTATGTATGATTAAAATTATCCAAAAAAAAAAACAAACTCCTGACCTCCCTTCCCTACCAGCGACTGCCTCATTTCTTTCCTCTTCTTTGTAGCAAACTCTTGCAAAGAGTTGTCTTTACTTTAATTTGTCTCTCCTCATTCTCTCTTCAACCTACTCCACCCTGGCTTTTATCTTCCCACACCATCACCAGCACACTACTGCCTGCCAAGTTTACCATGACCTTCACATTACTAAATCCACTGGTCAATTCTAAGTCTTTGACACAGTTGATCATTCCCCTCTCCCGGGTATTCTTTCTTCACTTGATTTCCAGGACACCACCCTCTATTGCTTTGTTTTGTTTTGTTTTCCTGTCATGCTAGTTCTCTCTTTCTCTTGCCTCTGAAATGTTGAAATGTTCCAGAACTGTTCTTGGTCCTCCTCTCTTCTCTTTACACATTTCCACACAGGCTTCATCCAGACCCATAACTTTAAATGCCATTTGTATGTTTATGATTCCCTAATTTACATCTCCAGCCTGGACCTCTTTCCTGAACTCTACACTTGCATTCAATTGCCCACCTGGCATATACACTACAGTGCTTCTTAAACCATATGCAGCAGAAGACTAGTTTTTCCCCAATCCACTGCAGACCAATACCTGATAGAAAAAACAAAACAAAAAACAAAACCTTTGATAAAACAATTAAAATACTGCCACAATGTCAAATTGCTACAGTTTTGTTGCGGAGCACTAGCTCCAGACGCGCAGGCTCAGCGGCCATGGCTCACGGGCCCAGCCGCTCCGCGGCATGTGGGATCTTCCCGGACCGGGGCACGAACCCGTGTCCCCTGCATCGATAGGCGGACTCTCAACCACTGCGCCACCAGGGAAGCCCTGCTACAGTTTTTTAATGTTTAATTTTACTTCCTGTATTTACCTCATTAGGGACAGGTAACAAACAGTCCAAGGAAGGAATCACACTTGGAGCAGGACTAGACTAAGAGGCGGCTTAGACCAACTCCTGCTCTTCCTCCTGAAACCTGCTTCAATCTCAGCCTTGCCTATCTCAGTTGATGGAACGTTCTTCCGGTTGTTGAAACAAAAAACCCTGGAATAATCCTTGTTTTTTCTTTTGCTGTCGGCGCACATACAGTCCTGCAGGAAATCCTGTTGGCTCCACCTTCAAACGGAACGTGACCACTTTTCAATACTACACAGTTACTAAGTCTGGTTTGTGCCACCATCATGTCTAGCCGGGATTATTTCAATAGCCTCCAAACAGATTCTTTGGTTCTCTTCTCCACCAATCCCCATCTCTGTACAGTCTATTCTCAACTCAGCAGTTGGAATGCTCCTTTTAACACTTAAGCGAGATCATGTTACTCCCCTTATTTTGCTCAGTAAATCAAACTCTTACAATAGTCTACAATGCCCTATATGATCCAGCTTATTACCTCTCTGACCTTCCCTCCTTCTTCCCGAGGGGGGAGGGGGAAAGAAACAAGAGAGGGGTTGACTGAAAAGGGGAGGGTAGGAGTACCAAGAAAACGACAGCAAGTGGTGGTCAGAATCACCACCCTTTGTGCTTCACCGAAGCATCTCCTGGCCCAAGGACCCGGCTTCCCATCCTACTCAGCTTCACTAAATCCGACCTCCTTCTGTCAGCGTAATGAATGCCATCGAGCTACAAGAGTCCGATCTCACCTGGGGCGCCCTAGAAAAACTCGACATGTTTCCTCAGTAGCAAGACAGTCCTTTTTCCAGGATCCAAGACCTGTCCCGCAGCATCAAGGGCCCGGCGGGAAACGCATGTAGCCGAACATGTCAGACCCTAGACAAGCCAGCACTCGTCTGCTTCTCTGCTTTTCCTGCATCTCCTCCAATCTTGCCACCGTAGCAGCTTCGTCATGAAGGGAGGAAATGATCTAGCTATTGAGAGAATAACCCCCGAAAGTAACTCGCTTGCTGGAAAAGCTGCGGAAAACCAATGGAGGGCACACAGTTTCCAGCCGACCTAAGTAGAAGGAACCGGAAGTGCGTCAGTAGCGCGGGCCTGTTTGGATGTGGAAGCAGAGACCTGAAACGGGGCCTCAGCCCTGAGAGATGGATCGGTACCTACTCCTAGTGATCTGGGAGGAAGAAAAAGTCCCGTCGGCGGCGGGTGCGGTGGCGGAGCATGGGCCAGGGGCTTCGTCCTCCGAGGGTACCGAGAAACAGCCAGGTAAGCGCTGGGCTGAGAAAGAGCGGGAACGGCTTGCAGGGAGGAGAAAAAAAATGTGATCAAGTTCTGCTGGAGTGACCTGTATGGAGTTGTCCCAGGAAGCTGTGACTCTATCTGGGATCGACCTGGTAAGGGCTGATAAAAGTATTTTCTCCGTAGAAAAAATAGGGACAAAATTGTGGATGTAAGATTCATAAGTTTCCGACACAGTAAATATTTAACTGTATAAATTCCCTACGCCTTGGAAATGGAATTTCTGTTCTTTGGACATATATGCATTCAATAGGTCGTTCTGCCTCCTGTGTTCCAAATGCAGGTAATACAGAAAGGAACAAGATGGAAAAGGATCTTACTCTCTTAGAGTTTACATCCTAACGGGAGGAGACGTTCCACACATAAACTAAGTTAAAAAAACAAATTATAGGGCTTCCCTGGTGGCGCAGTGGTTGGGGGTCCGCCTGCCGTTGCAGGGGACGCGGGTTCGTGCCCCGGTGCGGGAGGGTCCCGCATGCCGTGGAGCGGCTGGGCCCGTGAGCCATGGCCGCTGGGCCTGCGCGTCCGGAGCCTGTGCTCCGCGGCGGGAGTGGGCCGCAGCGGTGAGAGGCCCGCGTACCGCAAAAAAACAAACAAAACAAATTATAAATTTAAGACAATTACGACCGTTTGAGAATGCACAGCTTTTTGGTGCTCCTGTCTAGAATCTGTATTGCATTTTATTTAGCTTGTTTTGATAAAGCGGCGCTTTGAGGAGGAAGTGTATGGGGTTGTGTACAGAGTATTGTAACAGGATTTTCCTTCTCCGTTTAAAATTATTCTTTTGGGGGAATTTTGGATTTGTGTTAACTGGCAGGCATGTGCAAACCGGGAGCTTTACCTATTTTCTCTGCTTGCTTTAGATTATTATATCAAAACTTGTACAGAGTGTAGTTCTTTTATGTACAATATAGTGTACTTGAGAATCTCTGATGGTGAAACTGGAATAGGTCTACATTGTGTAACTCTTGAGCCCAGTTGACTTAGTTTGTTTTTTTCTTTTTCAGACTTAAGAGCAGCAAATGTTTATCACCTCCTGAAAAGAAGCATTAATGCTTCAATTAATCCAGAAGATAGTACCTTCCCTGGTAAGTAAAACATAAACCTCTCTTTTCACTGGCACAGCATTTGCATTGGAAATAAATTTAATTAATCTCATCACATGGGAGTCCAAGAAACACTTGTTGACTGTGTACAAGTCACTGGGATAGGGAAGCAATGAAAGAAATACAAAATGGAAAAGACACTATCCCTCTCTTCCTGATGCTTGGATGTCATAAAGTTGTTATGAAAATTATTTTAGGGTCTCAGTTTGAGTTTTGTTCCCTTTATGAGATTTTCTTGCCCATCTTCAGCTCCATATAAGATAGAGTAATGTGGCATTATAAGGAGGATTTGTGATTTTGTCGTGAGTACAAATACATCATTAATCTTATACCCATTTCCTTACCTTTTATTTTTCCATCCTTACCTCTTACTGATTCTTTTAAAAGCACTTCATAATTGTTAAACTCAGTAATCTTTTCTCCATTCTTATCTGCTTTAACTTTTTCAAAGTATTTGACTTTTTTGAAAATAAAATACTCTTTACTTTGTAAAAATCTTTTCTCCTTTGGTTTCTACTGGCATTATACAGATCCATGTATTTACATCTTTGTTAGTTATCCTCTTTTTTTCTTCCTTTTCTTGGCCTCTATCTGAGAGTGTCTTTCAGAGGCTCAGAAAAAAGGAGATATCAAAACAGGTCTAAAAGCTGAAGGAAGTTTCTGGAGATGTCAGGGAGAGTGTGCTTGTTTTGATACCTTTATAGTTCTCATGACTGTACAATCTGTTCCTTTCTCTTTCATCAGAGAACCTGTCTCTTGGATTTCAACTGTCACCTTTGGGAAATTATTTCTAATATCTATATGCTACCTTAGCCAGTTTGCCAAGTGCTGATAATACTCATTAATTTTTCAAGTTGGTATAATTTAAGTCAGTACTAGTATTGCAAGAAAGATTTTGATGGACTATGACATGTTCAATTAAGAACATGTGATTAGTTGCCTGTAAGATTGCAAAGTGAAAATATTTTGTAAAAGTTGGATACATGTGTCTGGAACTCCAAAGGAGAGTGAAGCTGGAGAAACAGATTATAGAATCATCAACATATAGATGTCAGTTCAAGCCATGAGAAAGGATGGGATTGTTTTGGATAGTGAGAATAGCAGAAAATCTTGAAATGAATCCCAGTATTTAAAGGAGCTGAACACCAGTTTTTAAAGGAATGAGAAGGAGCAGTGGGAAAGATAGGTTCCACAGAAAGCAAGTGTTTTCGGGAGAAAGTAGTCAAATGTGTCATTTTCGATTCCTTTCTTAGTCTTACGTTGAGAGGTCAAGTACCAACAGGACTAAAAACTGTTAAATTTAGAAACACATTAGTCATTGGTGACTTTGGTAAGTGTAGTTTCAGTGGCATGTTGGAGACAGAAGAACAGATTAAATTGGATTAGAAGGGGAATAGAAAAGGTAAACAGGAAATAGAGACAGTCAAGTGTAGATAGTGCTTTTAGAAAGTTTATCTTCCTGAAGAGTAAAGAAAGAGATATAGTAGTAACTGGAAAAGGGAGGTGAATTTAAAAGTGATTAAAAAAAATAATTTGAAAAATACTTGTGCATACTTAAATGCTAATGGGAAGGAAATGGCAGAGAAGGAGAGATTGAAGATGCAGGAAAGTCAGTGGCCTGGGGTCCCGGCAGAAGTCTGAGTGATAACCTTGATCAGAAGGGTAGTGCCTCTTACATGTAACAGGGAAGAATGAGGAAAGACCTAATGGGAATGCAGGAAGGGCAATATGTTTGCTGACAGGATGTTATGGGAGTTATAATGGCTTCTGTTTTCTTTATTTTTAATTTTTTAAATAAATTTATTTATCTATTTTTGGCTATGTCGGGTCTTCGTTGCTGTGCATGCGCTTTCTCTAGTTGTGGTGAGCAGGGGCTACTCTTTGTTGTCGTGCGCGGGCTTCTCATTGCAGTGGCTTCTCTTGTTGCAGAGCACGGGCTCTAGGCCCATAGGCTTCAGTAGTTGCAGCACGTGGGCTCAGTGGTTGCAGCACAGGGGCCCTAGATTTCGCGGGCTTCAGTGGTTATGGCACGTGGGCTCAGTAGCTGTGGCTCGTGGGCTCTAGAGTGCAGGCTCAGTAGTTGTGGTGCATGGGCTTAGTTGCTCTGCAGCATGTGGGAACTTCCCAGACCAGGGCTCGAACCCGTGTCCCCTGCATTGACAGGCATATTCTTAACCACTGCACCAGCAGGAAAGCCCGGCTTCTCTTTTCTTAAGGAAGTAGGAGGTAAAGTCTTCTGAGATTTTGGCAGTAACTGGTAATAGGCACTTAGCATCATTCTTAGCTTCCAAAGGTTCGGCTCAGTTATCACATTTCTCCTTCTCCCTCCTTTGAATACAATTTCTGTAGCTCTAAATTCTTCATTGCTCTTTTGATTCACACCCTGGGGTGACCCTTAATTTTGTATCTTCATGTAATATTCCAGCCTGCAAGAAGAGCATCTTCTTTATCTCTAGGCTGAAGTTACTCTTTAACTCCTTTCTCTTTGGCAAGGCTGAACCAAACCTTCATGGTCTTTGAGGAGGGAACCATTTTCCTTAAAATGACTTGCACGGTTTTGTATTACTCAAGAGTAATCGAGTGGGTGTATTTTTCAACATCTTTATAGTAGATTTTAGTGTTTGACATGATGATTAATATAATGATGTAGATTTTGAATTGTGATGAACTAAAGCAGAGTATTCATAGCGAGTGAATAATTTTGCTCTTTAGGCAGCTTCTCCTGTTTGAATTTTTAGCAGAGATTTTTAAAGATCCATATTTTATATATATGTATATATATATATATATTAAAATTACATAACTCTCTAAGTATGTATGCTATAACATCTGCTTATTTGTGGTATGCCTTTCTTCTAATAAGTATGATTTTGTTTTCAAGGCTGTTTGGTAGGCGGTATACCAGGTTCCAGGAAGTGGTTCTTTGCAGTGCAGGCAATATGTGGATTTTATCAGGTAATATAAATAAGAAAATAGTCACTAGTGAATGTCTTTGTTAATATAAATAATTCCATGAACCCATTATTTAATGCAATCTTTTGCTATATTAGTTTTGTAGTTCTGACTGGGAAGAGATACATTTTGGTGTGGAAAAAGATGAAATTGAAGATGTTCTTCAAAGAAATATCGAAGAATGTTTGAGTGCTGTTGAGTGTTTTGAGGAAGAAGATAGCAATAGCAGGGAATCATTATCCTTGGCTGAGTATGCTTATGTACTTTCTATCATGTCTTTAAAATATTTGACATTAGATAGTATTTTAGCCGTGAGAGTGAAGATTTGATATGTTAGCAGCTATCGTGAGGGAATTTTACATAATTCAAATTTTCAACTCTTTGTTTTGGAAGACAGGCAATTTGGGCCTTTTATTTGAATAAAATTCTTTAAAATGCACAAACTGGTATCTGAAAATGTTTAGCTTCTTAAGCTTGCATAATTGCAGGAATCATAAAAATTGATATTTTTATTAATATGTCACTTTCTTGAAGCAAACTTCTGCCTGATGTTATATTTCAAGAGCTTGAATAGAAACTTTATTTAAGGTTAATAACTGGCATTCAAACCACAGTATCATTTTCATTTTGCTGTTTGAGACTGAAATATATGATTTCTTCAATTTATATGTATCTTCAGCATTTCAGGCACCTTTAAAATCCATAGTTTCTGAGGTGTATGTAGATGATTGAATTCACTTTTAGGTTTTTTGAATTGTGGTACAGTATATAAGATGATCCGGGTGATGTGAGTTTTGATAATTTTTTTTTCTTCATGAAATATACCATCTCTGAACCATAATTCATTCTTGTCATTTCAGTCTTCTGTAATACTTCATTACAAAAAACTCCTTTGTTTATTTTAATATTCAAATATTATACTTCTATAAATTGCTGCAGATTTTCAAATTGTGTTTTCCTGTTTTCAAATCATATTTGTTTATACTGATTAATGAAGGGAGACATTGTAGAACCATAGAAAGGGCATTTTAACAGAGGCTAATAGAAGTGGTCTCTAATTATATAATCTTGGGCCAGTCACTTAACTTCTCTGGTGCTTTATTTTCTCATCTGTAAAGTGTTGAGATCCTTTTAGATGATTTCTAAGATGCCTTCTAGCCTTAGGGCTCTTACCATTCCATATGTTTTCTCACCACTATTAGAAGATGACAAGTATAAAAGTGATTATTTCTAGTAAGTGACCTAATAATTATTTCCACAAGAGGGAGCTTGAAAACTATACTTTACCGTAAGGCACCTTAAGTTTTTTAGACAATGGTGAGTTTATAATAAAGGATTTAAATACCTTTATGTTATATAATAAACTATCTTGAGAAAAAAAATTCATCATATGGGTAAAATGAATAGATTTTAAAGAATTGGAGGAGAGTATCATATTTTCCTGTCAGGGCTGTTATGTGCCATTCAGAGAAAAGCAGTAGCCTTCTTTATTAAATACTTAGTAATACCTTACTTTTAAGGTTCAGAAAAATGGTCTATTAGTTATGATTTATATTTAGTATACTAGATATAATTTAGGGAGGGCTTTTTTCCCCTTTTTTGTTAATGCTGTTTGTTTGTTTTGGGGGTGTGGCTAAGAACTTGGACTCAGGGTAATCCTAGCTTCCACAGCTACAGCTTATGTGGACTTTAGGTGAATCATTTAAAGTGAGGATAAAAATCGTATTATAGTAGTGCCTCTTGGGATTGTCATGAGGATCAAATGAGATAATGCTGAATGCTAAGTATTTAATAGTGTATGGCACATAGATCCATTTAATTAATATTACCTATTATGATTATATGTAATGTGTGTATATATATTTTTTCCTAACCTACTGTTTTATTTTAGCCTATATGAAGAATCTGCAGAAAATTTGCATCAGTTATCAGACAAACTTCCTGCTCCTGGTAATATTTTATGACTACTTTCAATAATTTGTACCTTATCTTACACTTTCTGTGAATGAGTGATAAATTCATTCTTTATGCTAACTTTGAAATGAAAAATGAAAAATAATTTTCTATATGAAGTTGTTAAAAAACATACTCTACTACTTTAATAAAGTACCTTGTTGAGACATCACAATTTTCTTAATTGTTTTCATTTACTTAGACAAAAATTAGAACTTAAGAAATTACTCATCTGTTTCCTTCTTCAGTTATTACTGAAGAAGCAGCTTTGCACTGTATATACCATTGTTTTCCACAATGTTCTATAGAACTCTACTTCCATGAGCAAATCCTGGAAAAAGAAGTTCTTTAACCTAGATCATTTGGATAACATACTTTTATGGTGTGAAGTCACTATACATATTATCAAATAGAAAGTCATGCAGTAAAAGAAGCCCTTGACTCAGCATTTTTTTACACAATCCATTTTTTTCCTATAATAGAAAGCATATTTTATGAAATACTGCATCATACTATTCTTAAAACTGTATTTTGTCTTAAATTAATCTTCCTTTGTGTGAATCAAGTAGCTGATTCATCTAAAGCTTGGTACGCTTTGGCATCCACAAATACTTTTGAATACTTTTCTGAATATTTTCATTATTGGAGGTCATTTATTAGGCAGATAGTTATTGTGTCTGTTAACATGTCAGGCGTTGTACTAGGAGCTGAGTATATAATGATGAGTAAAGCATATGTGATTATCATAAAGGACTTTATAGCTCACAGTCTAATCCTTATATTCAAGATTATATTTTAGTATAAAAGATCCTATATGGAAGATAACTGAATATATTGATAAACAAACATGTCAGATTTTTATATGAAGTTCAAAGAATGTACAGTTGCTATTTTGGCAAATTGGAATGCTTTCATTATCAAACTTTTATTTGGTTTCTGTTTCATTTTGATTTTTCTGGTCCTTCAGTAAAATTTATCATTTTATAAAATTTAAAGTTTCATGAAGTTAACCTTCTTTCTCAGGAACGAATGATGTTGTCAGTATAATTGAGTTTTCTGAGTGCTTTATTGTTCTTTAAAAAGAGAAATAATTTATATGAACATTACAGTTTTATACTAATTCATTCCCTTTTATATAACAAAATAAAGTATAGAACATAATGAATTGCACAGGTTTTTTTCCCTCTGTTCAGTACAACAATAGCATTGATGATCTCAAGAGCAATGTATAATTAACCACTGGCACATAATTGGCAAGTAATTATGATATAGTTCATTGTTTTTCTGACATATGCTAGCTATTTCAAGGTAACATGGCTTTAAATCAAATGTGAACATTTAAAAATTTTGAACTCCTGAAGATGTATATTGTTTTGAAGAATTTCAGCAATTAAAGTTAAAATCCTTCTTCATCTTCTAAATAAACGTAAAATTCAGTTGTTCAAGGTACTGTTTTGAGACATTTCAGATCTAACATCTTTTTTTTTAATTTATTTTTATTTATTTATTTTTTGAACTTACTTATTTTATGTATGTATTTTTTTGGCTGCACTGGGTCTTCATTGCTGTGCACGGGCTTTCTCTAGTTGTGGCTAGTGGGGGCTACTCTTGGTTGCGGTGTGCGGACTTCTCACTGCGGTGGCCTCTCGTTGCGGAGCACGGGCTCCAGGCGCGTGGGCTTCAGTAGTTGTGGCTCACGGGCTCTAGAATGCAGGCTCAGTAGTTGTGGCATACGGGCCTAGCTGCTCCATGGCATGTGGGATCTTCCCAGACCTGGGCTCGAACCCGCGTCCCCTGCATCGGCAGGCGGACTCCCAACCACTGCGCCACCAGGGAAGCCCCCAGATCTAACATCTTTAAAAAATTATAGTTAATCAACTATGCTCCAATATAAAATAAAAATGTTTTTAAAAAATTACAAAAATGCCTTTATCTCTTTCTAGGTAGAGCAATGATAGATGTAATACTGTTGCCTTCTGACAAAGATCCACCTAAATTGAGAGACTGTTTGCCTACTGTAGGAGCATTAAAACATTTGAAGGAATGGTATTCAGCAAAAATTACCATAGCAGGAAATCATTGTGAAACGTAAGCTTCTTTGTTCATATTTGACCACTATCTGTGTTGTCCGCTTTTACAATTAACTTGCTACCCTGTTTTTAATAGACCCGGCCTTCGAAGATTTTTAAAAATGTGACAAGATAGTTTTATGTCATACTGTGATTAGAGATTTATCTGTTGAGAAGAACCTACATTTTTCTTATTTCATACTTTATATTTCTGAGAAGTTTTAAGTTTTTAGTAACTGTTGTTGATGTTTTCTTACAACTATTATTGAGCATTAATTCTCCAAACACATTATGTGTTTTTAAATAGGTTTGTATTGTCCAGTGAACACCGTGATAAATACCATGGATACATGGATACACCAGATTTATAATGTCATATTTGTTTTTTGTTTTATGTGCAGTGTAGAAATAAATATATACTGTTGTGTTTTATGACATTTTAGTAAGGATCAACTGTGTATTACAGTTTTGATCCTTAAATGAGTATTAGATTTGTTAACTTCATGATTTTCTTCACTCAGCAGTTGTTTATTGAGCACTATCTTTATGCCAAGCACAGCAATATATACTGATAATAAGAAAGTGAGATTTGATCTTTTTCATTGAAATACAGGGAGGAACAGGAATGCAAATAGTCATGATAGTCTGTGATAAGTGCTATTATGAAATTCCATACAGAACTGTGTGGGAACAACTGAGGAGAGCAGTTCTCCTTTTGAAGATAAGAATTCATTCAATCTGTGTATATGTGTGTACATATGTGTATATCTGACGTTAAAATTAATAAATAATAATAGGAAAATCTGTTCATCTGTAGTATTAAGGGTAATTACTCATAATTCAAGGGGATGTTGAGATTAAATGAACACACGATAGCAACTTCTTCAGAGACTGACTTAATGAATGTTCTATAATATTAGTTGATAAAAGCAGCAATATAAACTTTGCATTTTTGCCTGTTTGGCTTGTAGCTAACTATAACCATTAAACCTAAGTCAAATTTAAAACCCTATATTTAATTATCATAAACTTTTATTTATAGAAATTGTCAGAAAATTGCCGAATACCTTTCTGCTAATATTGTGTCTTTACAAGATCTCAGAAATGCTATTGATTCAAAGGAGTTATGGAGGGGAAAGATTCAGATATGGGAAAGGAAGGTAAGTGGATTTCTGTTATCACAGTTTGCAAAGCAGGCCTTTCGACCTTATTTACAACACAGATAGTTTAAATGAATCCTAATGAAAAGGTACCATATAAAGATGTTCCAGAAAAGCACTATCTAAGTAGAACTTTCTTCATTAATGGAAATGTTCTGAATTTATCCTTATACAATAGTCCACTGGCTTCATGTTGCTACTAGCACTTTATACTTGACTACTTCAAACACAGAACTGAATCTTTTACTATATTTTACTTTAATTAATTTAAATTTAAATAGTGACTGTGATTGTTTTGGGCACTGCAGTTCTAGAATGTAACATTCTTTTAAAGCAGAATTTAGCATTAGTTGAGTTCATGTTTATCCAAGCTGCTTTAGTTCATTGCATATGTAAACTCCTGGAAAACTGCTTAGAACATGTTTTCTTACCTATGATACCACCTTAAGTGATCAGTGCTTTCTGCTAACCAGCTGATTTTGAACAATTTTTTTTTAACCTTACTAGACCCCAGATTTCTCAACTATAAGATGAGAATATTAGATTAAACCCCGCTAATGTTAAATTTCTATGAGGCTCCAATTCTATTTTGCGATCCCTTACCGTGAATGAATATGTTTGGTGGTTTTTATAAGCTGTGTCCATGTTGAAATCAGTGTTCCTGGTATTTTATGTGTTTCTGTCTATAGGCAAAACTAAAAGAAAGTTTCTTAATGTTTGTTTAGTATGGGAGCACGAGTAGATCGTTGTGTTCCTATAAAGATTTATTGTACTAATTACTAGACTTTTTTTTTCCTTTTCAATTCACTCTTAATTATAGTTTAATAAAACTTCTAATAAGACAACAGGAATTAACGTGGCTGGGCCCTTCTTGTTGATTTGCACGCCAGCTCTTCTTTATCTCGGGGAAGTTAAATCTGCAGATAAATCTTCTTTGCAAGTGGTTTTAGTGTAAACAAGTCGTATAGCCTACAAGAAGAATGCAGGATACAATTAGCTGGGAGAATTACTTTTGTATACATTTTTTGAAATTGCATGTCTACATACAGACAGATAATGGCAGGGTTCTGTGATTCTTTTATTCTTTTATGGATAAGAAATTAAATGTCCATATCTCCCCAGGCTGCATTTAAAACTTGAAATCACTTTTTTTGGTGGAGAATAGCTTTTAGCCTAGGGGCATTATAGTGATTAAGGACATAGATTCTAGAGTTAAGATTGCCTGCATTCAAATCCTAATTCTGTTTCTTGCTAGTTTTATGTGAAATGTTAGATAACATTTAGCCTCTTGGTGCCACAGTTATCTTTATCTGTAAGACAGGTATAATAGTAATTCCTAACTCAGATTTTTATGAGGTTTAAATTATTTAAAGCACAAAGTAACCATTCAGTAAGTGTTACCTATCATTGTCATTACCATTACTGTTAGTACCCCTATTATTACTACTTCTGCAGGAATTGATCTTTTTATCAACAACTTATATTGAAAGCAAACTATGTGTGAGGCACTAAGGATCTAGTGGTGAATGAGATAAGCAAGTTCTATTTTTGCAGAACTTAAGACAGTAGGAAGCAGGTACTGAACAACTATACGTAAAGGGGGTTGCTTTGTTCTCTGGTTGCGGAGAATGGGCTTAGTATCCTCTTGTGGGCTAGTGAAAGGCCAAGGAGAGCTTTTCATGAAAAATTCATGTGAAAGTTGAAATACGAATGATATGTACATAAATGGAAGAACTGCATTTTGAACTGAGGATCAAAAATAAATTTACATATGGTTTTCCTCTCAACTTTTGCATTGCAATAAGATGTATTAATCTTTGTAACTTAATTCATGATGCCTGTAACTGTGTTCTCTTCATTTCTTTTCAGTTTGGATGTGAAATTAGTTTTCCTGAATTTTGTTTAAAGGGAGTCACACCTAAGAATTTTAGTACATCTAATTTAAAAACTTGCTTTCTTGACAAAAAGATAATACCATCAAAGGATAAGAGTATTTTGCCAAAGGTAATCTATGTTTAATTGTTTTTGCCATCATCTATTCATGAATATTTTATAAGATATGTTTGAATCTTTAATTAACATTACTAATATATGTGCTTAAGTGTGCTCACTTGCATAACTTTTACTATAATTATAATTAAGTGCTTAAATTATACTGTATTATCAGTATTGAATGTTGGCAAAACTATCATTGTTTTAAATTGTTTTCAAAATGGAACGATCCTAACTTTAGATCAGTATAGGCCTGAAACCACTTATTTTTTTATTTTATTTTTTGGCGGTACGTGGGCCTCTCACTGTTGTGGCCTCTCTCGTCGCGGAGCACAGGCTCTGGACGCACAGGCTCAGCGGCCATGGCTCACGGGCCCAGCCGCTCCGCGGCATGTGGGATCTTCCCAGACCGGGTCACGAACCCCTGTCCCCTGCATTGGCAGGCGGACTCTCAACCACTGCGCCACCAGGGAAGCCCCTGAAACCACTTTTGATTTGAACTTTACCATGTGACCTTTCTAAGACTCAGTTTGAAGGGCGTATGATACAGTGGAAAGAGAACAGGCTTTGATGTTAGGTAGACCTCGGTTTGAAACCTGACTTTGTCACCTATGAGGTATTGTCACCTTGGGTAGATTGATTAATTCATTTATGAAATGGAGATAGTAATAAACACTATCTTACAAAATTATGAGGGTTAAATGAAGTAAGAGATTAGCATCTGATATAGTACCTGACATTTGCTTCATTTACAGTTTAAGAGGTATTGATTCTTGTCCCGTGTCTCCATAGATTTATTCTTAAAATGCAATTATAAAGTATAATAATTAAGAGGGGTTTGGTTCACTTTTTTTTTCACATTGGACAAATAATATAAGAAGAAGTATTTATATAGAAGCACTTTAGAAATTCACTTTGAAGGATGCATTTCAAGAATGCACAAAACATAGTGGTCATGAAGTTGCAAGGATGTCAGAGTGATGGGTAATATTTTCTGATCAAAGGGTGGTACAAAAGACATATTTCTGATGTTGACACATTTCCTAATAGTTCAGAATTACTTACTTTAAGTAACTTATCATGACCATCTTTCACAGGAATATTAAATTCTTTTCTAAAGATTATAATCATAAGATTGATGACCTCAACTTTTCTTCTTTGGTAGTACACCATTCAAGTATGAATAATGTGTCTGATATTTGCTGCTATTGAGAGAAATTTAGGGTTCAACGTCTTAAATAAATGTAAGCCTCTCTATGCATAAACAAATACATGCATACATACATATATATACACACTAGGTGTGTTGTGTATTTATGTGTACATACACATACATACACATAATCATATATGATGAAATTACTCAGCTTTCTGCAAGTTTAAAACTTTGTGTGTTTGAAGATGTGTCTGCTTTTCTTTGCCCTTCTTGTGAAGCACTCTAGCCCCAACTCTTGAATTACTTTCTTCACTAGCTCACTCTTAGTTTAGTTTTAGACTCTGTCCAAAGAAATACTGAATTTTATTTCTCTGAGTGGAGCTTTCTTTGTTAATTAGTATTCTTGTTTTACTAGTTCTCTCTTTAATTACTTTAGTATTTCCTCCAAGGACTTTGTTTTGTTTTTTGTTTTTTTTTTTAATCTCAGCATACCAAAGTTCATCCTGGAGTGTCTTTTCTTTCTCTTTCTCAGTTTCGCAGACGCTCTTCAACATCCTAGCCTCCTGGCTTATCTGTCTGTCTTCCTAGAGATAAACAGGAAAAGTTGAGAACTCTTGTCCTCTGTTGCTTGCCTCTTTCTATACTCATTTTCCTCCTGTTAAAACTCTTTCCAGTTAGTAAGAAATCTCCATATCTCTCCACTCGTAAAGGTAGAATTGATATGGAAGAAATTCTTATCTTTGATAGAGAATTAAGTGTTTGTCTTGCATAATATGTAAATATGTGCTTTTTAAGACCCATTTTAAAGATTTAAACCCTGATCACTAATTTGTTCACTTTCGTTTTATTTATAGTATTTAAAGTCTTACATAATTTTCATTTCTTTTTTAGGTTTTTCATTATTATGGCCCTGCTTTAGAATTTGTGCAGATGATAAAATTATCAGACCTACCTTCCTGCTATATGTCAGACATTGAATTTGAGTTGTATCCTTTTCATTTACATGTTCATTATAGATCACAATTTTTCTGTGTCAAGTAAGACTGTTTCCTGGTACCACCACATTTAAATATTTGCCCATACTTTTGTTGTTGTTTTTCTTTTTTATAATATCAGTATACTTTTCATTGCCATTGCTTTAAGAGAAATTCTACAACTTGCAAAAAAAGAATACTCCTTCAGGCACGATATTTATGCCTCTAGAATAGGCAGAAGACTTCCTGAAATTATTACTCATTGCTTATGGGGTAGGTAAGAGGGAGAAATGTTAGGGATCTGTGAAGAAAAACAAAATAATTTATATACTATTGGAATGTTCAGATGTTTCTCTTGCCATTGGCAGGATAGATACAAGTGCCAGTCCACTGTATCTTTTTAAATACTTAAGTAAATAAGAATGCTATCACATATGTCTGTAAATATTCAAAATATTTTAGACTCTTTTTTAAGAAAATATATCTAAGAAGTTTTAGGAACAGATCTAAGAACAATATTTTATATAAAAAGAATTTGTTGTTGGCCAGAAATGAAACCCTAGTACAGTGTTCTTGAATTTTTATTCAGAAGCTCCAGTTTGTACAAATCTCTGGTTCTAATAGTTTAGAGTAATGCTATTTATAGTATCACTATTTCTTGATGTATTTTTAGAATCAGAAAAATAATTGTCCTTGGAAAGGAGTAATTGTGAGTTCCCACAGTTAAAAATGTTGATCAGTGAATTTAAGCACCTTGTGAATTGGAGAATCAAACTTATTTTAGGGAGTTGAATTATTTGACAATTACCATTTCATCATTTCTTTAACTCCTTAGTGCAGAGGACTGACAGAAAACAATACCAAACAGAATTCCAAGCTGCTGTTGGAGCAGGTTTCTTCCCTGTGTGGCAAGGTATAGAGGGTGTTTTTTTGTTTTTGTTTTGTTTTTGACTTAACATTTACAGATGTGTGAGAAAAGGGAATGTATTTTTTAAAATCTGTTTCTGTGTGATGATTTGGTTTCTTTAACTTAACATAAGGTTTTGGTCCTAATTCATGTTAAGATACTTTGGACTTTTCCTAATAACCCCAAAGTCTTCTGCAGACATGAAGTGATGTTTTTTTTTTTAGAAGAGATTTTCAAAAATAAGCTTCATGATGATAATTGCTTTTAGAACACATTAGATTATTGTTAACCTACCCCTTTCACATCTGATTTCAGTTCCGTGGCAAGATATGTATATGCTTGCATTATCTTTTTCATGGTAGGATGGGTAGGTGGAGGTGAGGAAAATGCCTCAAACTTCACTAAATTATCATTTGTAAGTTTTCAGTTCTTCTTTTTTAATTTTGGTGATGTTTAGAAGATTTTCAGCTATTTGACTAGTTTATATATATATATAAAACATATATAATGATATGTAGTTAAAAATTTTTAACTACAACATAAAGAATTTTATGTGGAATCATATAAAGTCAAGTACAGTTTTCAATAGGAAAAACTAAAATTTTCTTTCTGGTTATTTGCTCAACTACCTTGTTTCTATGAAAACAATTTTTAATGCACAAAATGTTCATTGGCAATATTTGCATAACATTTTCTTATTATTTTAACAACAAGTACTCAATTATCAAATAGTCCTGCAGGGAGAAAAATGATTGTTATAATTATGGTTTCCCCATGGCACTATTAATCAAATCTTGGTTATAGTTCCCTTAGAAAATTGATGTAGTAAAGAAAATATGATTTTGGCCTTAAGATGCTTGGCTATATAATAACTTAAAATCTTGACTTGCAGCCTCAAAATTTTGACTTGCAGCAGTGTATCAGAGTATTTATTTGATGAAATGGCCTTTAAAGGAACAGTCTGAAGATAATGTTAGCCTGTTTTTTCACCTCTGAAGTACTCAATGTACTACATTTTGAAATTTAAAATTTCTTTTTTTGTTTATTCAACATTAGTTCTACTTTATGCATTGTATTAGATATTAGGGCTCCAATGATGGATTGTACAGATGAAGACTCTGCCCTCATGGAACTTACATTTTGGTAGGAAAAATAGAAAATAAGAGCTATGAAGAAAACAAGCAGGCTGAGATAGGGTAGTAGGGTGGATGGTGTACTTTAAACAGGCTAATAAGATCGTACATCTCTACAGAAATTTGCACACAGAAGTCTTGTGAAGTGGTATAGTTAAAAAAAAAAAACAGAAGAAGAAAAGGCACTAAGAATAAAAACAAACAAACAAACAACGCTGTTCATATTTTAACCCAAGTAGCTAAATAGTTCACTATGTAACCCTATCCAGGAAATGAGAATGTCATTTATCATTAATCATCTCACCTATATTATCAAATAAGGGAGGGAGGGAATATGATATAGTAGAAAGTCTCAAGTAAAAGAACATGTACTTTAGAAAACTTTGATTTAAGTCCTAGCTCTGCCACTCACTGGTTTATAGCTTTTTAAATTGTGAACTGGAAATAATAATTCCTGTTTTGCCTATTTCAAAAAGTTGTAATGAAAACCAAATTGGAATATATTTTATAAACTGTACAGTATGATACAAATGATGGTTGCTATCTAATTCTTGTCTTTGAAGTTTATGTGGCCCAAATGATAGACACACTTAAGTGAAACATTTTCCTGAAATTTATAAAGCACTAGATATCCTCTAGATATTTTGAAGTTATGATGAAATTTTTAGGAATTAGTTTTATAGGTAATGTTTCAAGTCAAAATCAGACATATACCTATAATTTAACTCGGTTATAAAATAATTCTTAACCCATCTAGATATTGAAAATAGGCAACTCTAATCCTAGAAGAAAGCTAAACTATTGATATCTATTAATATAGTATTTTCAATTGTTTTATTTTAAATTTGTTGTATTAGATTGTCATTTTTATTGCTTCTCGGACAATGACTGAAATATTGGACTACACTTTATCAGTCGGGGACAAATAAATAGAACTTTAAATATATGTTCCTACTTTAATTCAGCAAAGGGATAACTTTTAGAAACATACATTATGTAATTTGGCTAAATCTCTAAATGTGAAGCAGTTCACTGTCCTTTTACACTGTGTCATAGTTAGTCTTTTACATTTTTGAAAAAAAAAAATTGAATTCCACACTCATTCCTTGAAATAATCCCAGTGCTTTATAACATGGTTTTCATTTATTTATTCAACTTTTCTTTTTGTTTTTTGGACTGCCTGCCAGTTGCTTGTTGCAACTGGAGAGAATACTGGAGAGAATAAAGTGGACAAGTTCCCTCCTTGGGAAGCTGTCAAAGTGCTTAAATTCTAGTGCTTTATGTGATCCTAAGTCAACTTTTGAGCTTAAAAAAGATGTTTGATTAGCCTCAGAATAAAAATAAAAGCCTTTTAGAGGAAAACTTATTTTATTAGATTAGAAAAGGCAAGATAGGGTTGTTAGGGAATCATGACGTCTATTAATCACATGGACAGGGAATATTTTTATTAAAGAGGAGAATTTATAAGGCTAAAAACATGATTGCCATAGTGCCTGCTTGTTTGGGGGTTTGCCTGCTGAAAAGACTGAATCAAAGTTTTGAAACTTGGGTTTGAAATGTTATTTGGCTGTTAAATTTTGGAATAGAATGTTAACATAAAAGGATCATCCTCAAGTCTCTCAAAGTATATCTAATGATTCGTGTATAAGTGAGAACAAGTTATCAGGATCCAAGTTTGTTGTGAATGTAGTGTAAACTATTGACATAAATTTATTTTGTAGGGAATTATAGCTTATGGGATTTAGAAAAGTTTATTTTCATATTTGTAGCAAATGTTTAATCAAAAATAGGCTGTCTCAGAAATGTGGTCACTTCCTTTGCTGATGGGTCAGGACACATTTATGTCAGGCTATAAATTATGCAATGAACTGCATTTAGTATCTTTACATTGTTAAGCTGTAACTATAATTGTAACAGTTTTATAATTGTTAAGCTGTAATTGGGCCCTGATCTGGCATACTCACATTACAGCTTTGTCACCCTTTGGGCCAGACAGTTTTGTTATGCATTTTGGTCTAAGAAGTCTTACTCAAGCAAGAACTAGGACTTAGTGTTTAGGAAATTAAATATATATCTTTTATAGTTAATGATTATTTTCCATTCCTAAATATTTTTATTTTTAATATCTAATGCTTGACTATGTAAAATACATTTGACTTAAAATAAAAAGGTTATGGCTATAATAATCAAGAAAAATAAGCATATTTAATTTTACCTTCCTTGTTTTACTCCCGATAGACTTATTTTCATATTCGTTAGTTAAGAATACGTAAGTAAAAATAATAAATAGCAACTAAAAGTATTAATTAACTTTGTGTCACATATCTCATGTAACCCTTCTATCTACATAGGACAGTTAAAAGTGATTTTGCATTAGATTTGAGATTGATAGCAAATGCCTTGCCTAAATTTCCCCAAAAGTAAAAAAAAAAAAAAAAAAGTATTTATTGGGATGTGCTGATTTTGTAGCTTACATTTCTAAAATAATAACAGGCAAAATACAGCTTTCAAGGTTGCAGTTTGTTTTATTCAGTGCTTAACCAAACTGAGAATTTACCTAAATATATTATGGTGGGTTTGGGGGGACAAATATTTAACAAACATCTGTGTGCCCAGCACTGGGAATACAAAGATGAATAAGTTGAGTTTGCTCATCAATCAGTTAGAAGCTGCTGTATGTTTTCTGGCATATGATTCATGGTTTCTCTAAATTTTTATACCTACTAGCATTAAATCTCTGATATCTAGCAACAAAAGTTTTGAAATTGCCTTTAGATTCTAATTTTGAAGCCAGACCAATAATCCATCCAGTCAGAAGTTTATAAAAATATAACTCGGTATGACAAAATCTTTTGAGGATAGAATTCGTGACCTCTCATTGATTTGCAAATATATGAAGAAATTATACCCACAACCTAAACTTAAACATTGTGAATACGGTTTTCAGAGATACATGACTCAGTGGAAGTAAAACGGATACCTGTAACTTTGAATCCTTTCTCTGTTTTCTGGCTTTTTTTTTTTTTTGGTGGAGGTAGGGCAGTGTTCTTGTTTTTTTCTTTTTTTAGTTTTTATAGTGGAATTCTTGGGAAAGAATGTGATTAAATACGTGTTACGTAGGTGAAATATGAGTGGAAAATTGTCAGATGACGCTATTTTAGAGTTGATTTCATTGTGCACTCACTAAAAATATGTTCTGTTTTATCCAGGTTGGTGCTCTTTTTGTATTGCCATGTACCATTAGTAGCATACTTACTCCTCCTCCCAGCCAGCTCAGTTCAAGAAAATGGAAGGAATATATAGCTAGAAAGCCTAAGACAATCAGTGGTAAGTAGTAAATTTTTAAGTTTTAATGGTGCCACATAAATAATGTATTTATCAACTTTGAAATGGAGATAACATTTCTTTATGAGAAAATATATTATTACTACTGATTAAGAGGACCCGTATCATTTTAAGATGTTTTTCTTATCTAACAACCTACTGCAACAGAAAGTATATACAACGTTATTCATTCATAAAATATCAGTGTTCTAAAGGCAGAAATTTTGGTTAATTAGATAGTTAATTATATTAAACATGGGTTTCTTAGAGACATTTCAGGAATAAAATTTATGGAAATAGATTAATTTATTATATAGTATATTAAAAAAACAAACTTGTGATTACAATTTTCTGTAGAATTTATTTAACAGCTTTTTATATGCTATGCAGTATTCTAAGTACTTTAGAAATCTTGATTCATTTAATTTTTATAATAACGTTATAAACTTAAAATAACCTTATAAACATTTAACAGATGAGGAAATTGGGACTTGGAGAAGTTACAGAGCTATTAACTGGCAGAAACAGGATGTGAACCAAGATTCTGCCAATTAATAGCTCTAACATCTCCAAGGATTTGAACCCAGGAACTCTGCTCTTAACCCCTGCACTGTGTTGCCTCTCTAATAATCTATTACATTCAAGATGTCATTAATTTCTATTATAAAATCAGATTATTTAAATCCAATCTCTAATACTTCATTAAGTACTTGCAGGTCAAAATGTTAGTTACTTGTCCAAAGTCACATAGCTAAAGTGTGTTCCTTCGTACTTTGTTTCAGTGTTTTCTGTTTTAATTGGACGATGATTTGTTTAGTTTAATTCTGACCTTATACTTAGTTTTTGTGACCTGTGATATTATGGGACTAAGAACTGGAATTGAAACGTATCTACCCAGATTGTAATCTCTAGAAGTACTCTAGAACCTTAGAATTCTGAGGAATACAATTTTAAAATCAGCGGTTTACACAGTACTTTATAGGAAATAGGTAAGATACTAAAATTCATTTTAGCAAGTGTTGAATTTAAAATGTAGATAATATCTATGTGGAAATTTAAAGTTAGTGTTTGAAGTTTAGATGTATATCTCTAGAGAGTGGTCAGGGCAGGAGATTTAGATTTTTAGTTTACCAGCTCTTTTGTTTATCTGTTTTACAGCAAATTACCCTAACACTAAGTGGCTTAAAAGAACAAACACTTTATTTGCTCATACTTCTGTGTTTGAGCTAGGTTCAGCTGGGCAGTTCTTCTGCCAGTCTTACCAGTGGTCACTGATATGTGACTGCGCTGAACTTGTGGATTGTTTGGAGGATGGGCTCAGATGGGATGCAGGGACAGCTGTCTTTCTCTCTCCATGTAGTCTCAATGCCTTTTCCTTGCCACGTGCTTTTTTCTTGTAATCTCTGGAGCAGGTGAGCTGGAATTTTTTACATGGCTACTCAAGATTCCAAAATGAAGAAAAATTGAGGTGACAAGGACTTTTTAAGGCTTATTCCCAAAACTGGCCAAGTGTCACTTCTGCTGTATTCTTATTTAAAGCTACTCACAAGAATGGGCCAGATTCAAGAGGGAGGTGACTATACAAGGGTCTGAATACTGGGAAGCCCCCAGTGTAAAAGTCCACCGCGGGTGTATAAAGGTGATAGTGGAAACAGGAGTGGTTGGGAAAAAACACATAGACAACATGGCTAAAGAAGAGAGCCAAGGACAGGACCTTTAGAAATACCTGAATTTAAGGTAAAGTGGAGGAAAAGTTAGAAAATGGTTTAGTAAATGGTAGTTGGAAGACGCTAAAGAGTTATAATCATTAACATCAATATCAAAATATCACCATTTATTGCATAATATAGAGTATTGTGCAAAATGTGGGAAATAAAGGGAAGTCAAACTGGGTTCTTACACTTGAGGAATTAGAGGCATGGTCCTTTTCTTTGTAAAGTTTATAGTCAAGTGAAGAAGGCACTTTGAAAAATCATTATAAATCTCTTTATCCATCAGGGTGAAAGTAAAGTGGAGGATACTTTCAGAGTGTATGACCTAATGTAGCCTTAAGAATTCAGGAAGGCTTCCTGGAGGAAGAGACATAGTTAATGTAGTTTATTGCACTGCACTAATTCGTGAAGAAATGTGGCTTTAACCCTTCTCAGCTCACAGGGAATAAGTGTATACCTGGTGATTTTGGCAGATGCTAAAACAAAATCAGAAGTAGACTTACTGGGTGGCAGTAGAGTCAGTTTCACTATACTACGTGAAATCACAGGATAATATCCATTTCTCAATATTACATAGGTTTACAACTTATTAACATGAATAGTAACATCTCTTAACTAAACTTGAGTGTATTCTGGACAACTCTTTATTTGTTTTTCCTCTTGTAACTTTTTCTAAGGTAATTTATTGATTTAGAATTTACTCTTAGTTTTTTTTTTTCATGACTTTCATTGCAACTTTAAGAAAATACCTTATCATGATGCTTGATTTGATTTTTTTAAATTATCACCTCTTAAAATTTGGGGATTAGTATTAGTAACTTCTGAATAATAATTAGACATATATCACATGACCATCTTCGAAGCCAAGTTGTTGATTAGGCCGTATCATTAAGGGCTGATTAAGCTGACACTTTACAATCTTTTTTTTTTTTATCTCAGATGTAGAAACAATCAAATTGAACAGTTGATTATTAAGTTCTATTTTACCCATAGCCCTTTCTGTAGGGGAAATTATTTATCCCATTGACAGAACTTCTTTTGTAAAGAGTAGTCAAGTTTTAGCTAGTGTAAGTTTTGATGCCTCTTACATAAAAAACGTCTTATCCCATTCATAGTGCCACTACTAATGGCCTCTCTCACTACAAAATAAGGTATTAACTATCAGCCTCCTAAATCAAAACTCTGTTTCCCCATAACCTACTGAATCATGCCCAACTGTTCTTGGCTGTCGCCTTCCTTGTCCCCTATCCTCCAGACTAAACTTTGTACTGTTTCCTAAAACTATTCCCTGGTTTTACACCTTTATCATGTTGTTATTCATGCATTCAGTCGGTCACGTTTCTATTCATGCTTTATAGATACTATGAATCAGGTATGTTACTGCAATCTGGGGGTTGCTGGTGAGCAAGACAGACTTGGCTCATCCTCTTCTATGTTACATTATGTTACATTATCCTGTAACATAGAAAAGAGGCACTGAGGGGGGGCTGAAACAATCCCTAAGAGATATTACATAAATAAAACAAGGTGTGCAAATGTTATTATGCTACCTTTTGTGGTACAGATAACAGTTCAGATGTGTGAAGTAAGCATTTATATGTTTGTATATGCATGAAATACTCAGTTTTTCAACAGATATTTTTATTGAGCACCTACAGTATACTAGGCAGTGTTTTACATGCTGGACCAGCAGTAAATTGAACAAAGAACTTGCTCTTGGGGAGCTTACATGTTAGTGGAGGTAACAGGTTTAGTTCTTGCCCCAGATAGGCATATGGCTGGGTCTCTCAGTTTCAGAAAACCTTTACTCCAAAGTCATTTTCTCATTCAGGACCTAATTTTTGCCATCCCATCTAAAATTGCAAATCGACTCTTTTCCTGACATCATCTCCATCTTCCCAGCTCTAATTTTTCTCCTTAGTGCTGATTACCATCTAATATACTAAATGTGTGTCCGTTTCTCTCACTAGAAGTGAGAAGAGACAAAGTGAAGTTTTTTTACTTTTATTCATTGCTTTATTCTCAGTGCCTGGAACAGTGCCTGACACTTAATAGGTACTCAAAAATATTTGTAAAATAATAAGTGGAATATGTAGTGTATCTCTAGTTAGTAATAACTGCTGTCTGGAAAAGTAAAGAAAGACTGAATGGACTGCAATGTGAACCAAGATTTGTGCTCCAGTTTTTATCAGTTGCTTAAGTTTAATGTATCATCCCTTGATGAAATAAAGGGATGTATCAATGTATTATACATAGGACATATGTATTAGTTTGAACCTCTCTTTGTATATCAAAAATTGTTAAAATATCAGCAATTCATATGGTTTGACCTAAAATAGAAGAACAATGGCCAATTTTAAAGAATGATTTTTAAAAGTGTTTTGCAGTGAAATACCCAGAAAGTATTATGGTACTGGGAAAAGCGTAAAAGAACTATATGAACAAATGCAATTAACTAAACCTTATTACATTTCTGAAGAAAGGCTTCTATATTTAAAACTATATTGAAAAGCCAGTTGTATAATGAAAAGAGCCTGGCTCACCATATGTTCACAGAGATGTTTTATGAAATTGTCAAAAAATTGGATGTTGATCATTGCCTAATTTTATATAACAAATGAAGAAGCTAAGGTACAGAGAAATCAACAAATTTGTCTAAGGTCACAGGGTGAGATCAGAATTTCCACTCAAGTTTTTCTACCGGTCATCCATGATCATTTCATAATCCTGAGTTCTATTGTTGCCTCATTTTTTAAAAAATTGGAATTCTTTTGAAAGGAAACATTTTAAAGGTACTCGGCAAAAATATTATTAGCAAGGACTAATGAAGCATTTTGAATTGAGGAAGCAAGTGCCTTCCTCATACTCAAGTCAGTGTGATCGAAGTGTTTCAAAATAGTGAGCTGAAACTAAGGTTAAAATGACTCAGTGTAACTGATTTATAAATAATTTTGATCTTGAGAAAAGGTAAAGGACTTAGATAAAGATTTTGAAAGAGATTTCAGTGGCAGAGTCAAAGTGTTCTTTCAGTCAGCAAATATTTATATTTATCGTGTGCCCGTCGTGTTCAGGGCATTATTCTAGGTGCTAGGAATTCAGTAGTGAAAACAATCAGCCAACTTTACTGTATTAACTTTTATTAAACACACCACTCAAGAACATACTGGTTCTCTTCAAGCACATATGGAACATTCTTCGGGATAGACCATATATCTGTCAGGCTATTAAATGAGGCTCAATAAATTGAAAAGAATAGATATAATACACAGTATGTTCTCCAGTTACAGTGGA